TCCTATATACAAAATTTCAACGTTCTGAGGCTACTCGTTTTTGAGTTATGCGAGATACATACGTACGTACGTACAGACGGCACAAAAAATTCTCTTCAGAATTCATTTTAAAGCAGTTTTATAATTTTTTGGAGGAAAAGAGTCTTTTATTCTGTCCTTACGTACAGATGTCACGCAAAAACATCGCTAAATTGCATTCGATAGCGGTCAAAATTTTCTTTGAAATATGCTGCATGAAACTTTTTGTGATTACAATACTTCCTTTTTACTTCTTAGAAGGAAGTAAAGAGTGCTTCACAAGTTCGGATTATAATTTACAGTGGAAGAACAAATGCAGAAACTATTTGCTTGTGGAAGCATAGGTTGCCTTTGCGCCAGACATGAACTAGAATAAACTGAACGGAGACTCTCTCTTCGTTTTTATACCGTTTTATGGCTTTCATCCCGTAGCGAGATATTTCTAGTACTTTCTGTTTCTCGAGATTTTTGGAAAGCAATAAATAAGAAGATGAAATAACGGTTGCAGCTAACATAGTGGTCAATACATTTATTCAGTTTCAATACAAATTACCGGGATATCCATTTACGCAAAGTTAAATGCATGTGTATTCTTACTTTTTCAGCATAGCTTTCTTTTAAAATTTGTCTGGCGCTGCATTGCACTAGGAAATTCAACAATGTTAATGTCAGTTCTACTGAAATCAGCTACCTAAATAAAGAATTTATAACAAAATATATATATATTTTTCCCAATTGATATTTCACATTTGTAAACTTAAATTTATAATAAATGTTACAAAAACAAAAAGCTTTGAAATTAGTGGAATTGTCTCATATTTGCAAAATCTCTGAAAATCCCTTAATCTTTTCTAAAATAATCGCTGAAAGTAATGCTGTGATGCAAATCACAAATGCACTTTTCATTTCTTAAAAAGGATTATTACCTTTAATGTCTTAACAATTACGGGCAGTTTCATGCTTAACTTTGTAACACATCCTTTCTCAGAAAGGTTCTAGGACATTTTTTTTTATTTCCGAGTTTGCAGTACTAAAAAGGAAGAAATGTTGTTTTTATCTGACCTGTTATGTATTCTTAACTGACATGACCTTGGCCACGTTTCCATGAAAACTTACTAAATGGAAGGCCTGCGCTTAGCAACACACTGTTCAGATTGTTCCCGCATTCGTTAAGGTGACATAATGGATGCTGATTGTGAGCAAAGAGTGAAAATCAAGTTCTATGTTAAGCTCGAGAAAACCCCAGTGAAACGAGGAACATAATTAAGCAAGCATACGCAGGTGAGGCATTTTCAAGAAGAAGTCGTGTTTTCGAGTGGCACAAAAGGTTTTGTGAAGGCAGAGATTCAGTGCAAGACGATCCCAGAGATGGTCCCCTCTATAGAACATACCGATGCAAACGTGGAGCGTGTAAGGCAGTTACTGCAAGAAGTCCGTCGTGTTACTCTGCGTATGATGTCAGAAGAACTGAATTTAAATCGTGATGTGTGTCATAAGACTTAGATATAGGGAAACGGAAACTTAATGCAAGAATCATCCCTCACTCACTAACAGATGAAAAGAAAGAGAAAAAGCGAAGAATTTCTTTTAAACTATTGGATAGAGCCAGACGTGATCCCATATTTGTGTCAAAGATTATTGGGATTGTTTTCTTGTTTCCGTGAGTGAAAAGGTGACTGAAAAAAATCATCATCAAAATTATTGCAGACATCCAAAGGGCTGTGACAAATGAGTTTGCAAGCATCGCAGTTTAGAATTTCCCCGCTTGCCTCCAAGACCTCCAGAAATGTTGGCAGCTGTGTACAGATAACCAAGGGACTACTTTGATAGCAGCTAGGATCATTACTTGATAAATGCAATTTTCTATTTTTTACGACCTTTTATCTCGAACGTTTCTGACAAAGGATTAAATTTTCTTCAAATATACTTAGAATGTCACGCGAAAACACGTCAAGAAAAACTGCTTCATGCTCAGCAATTCACCTTTCAACTTTAAAGATTACTTTCGAGTTCATCAGTCATTTTCTAAGCATAAGAAGACTTTCAAAATTGAATTTGATTTCTTTATATCCGAATTTAGAGCACTTATTCTACGTGCCGGAGGAGAATCACCGAGTGCCTGACAAATGTTTTATAACTCATGGTTGAAATCTTAAGCGTTACACTGGAGAAAAAAGAAATGCATAGATTTGTACGAAAAATAAATACGTTACAACATTTAAATTTAAAAGAAAAATAAATAGGAAGTGAAGTAAAAAAACAACTGAAATCAATATTCTTAAGCAGAACCGAACATGGACTTTCAAAGAACGGGTTCGATTTGTAGACTTAAGGAGCAGAAAGGAGGGAGTCATAATTCTTTGCAGCAGTAAAGCAACTGACTTTCATTAAATTAATGTTACACAAGGCACGTTATTAGCAATAAGTGTAATTAAGTAATCATTTACTAGAACATGCACTTGAATCTAAAAATTTGAACTACATTTTCTAGGTAAAATTTAAAGACGAGATTAATTTTCGAATGTAATATCCTTCAAAAATGGTATACATTGACTCAAATCATATCATAAGATCCCCAAGATGCTAAAATATGGACCAAGTGAGCAAAACTATCCAAACAACCAATCAAAGGATAAAAAGCACTTATTAGAAAAGTAGCCTTCTCCACAAATGCTGAGAAAACAGAAACGTCCATGTGACAGGGGCCTTGCGAGAAAATTCCAGTTTTTAGAAGTGATATCTTCATCCCTGACTGCGTTTCTGGAATTAAAATGTCTGTCCATACTGAGGACAAGGAGCTGTTGAAGCATCGCTCGCTATTCCTCGTGTAGGGCCAATTTCAGCATTAAAAGAGTTGCTGGACAGTTGCCAATGTATTCCCAAAAAGGTACCCAAACAAGTTCCATAGGTTCGTGGCTTTGCACGTAACTCCATGAGTTGAACATCTTCATCCTCCAAGAGTTCTACGACAGCTACTCTACGATGAGTTGTAGCAGTGTTGTTCATGAAAAGGAAATCCGGATCCACAGCATCGCATCTCTAAACAGACGCATTTTAGACAAGAGAATGTCGGTGAGGACACAAGTGACTGAACGTTTTGGGGACATATGGAGATCAGTACGGCTAACAAGTATGATACCACCCAAAATGAGAACTCTGTTAACTCAAAAACGCTCTCTTTCGATTATGTTAGGAGGGTGATTGCGTGTTCCCTTTCAGATGTGTATACGTCTACACTCGCTCCTCAGAATAAATTATAGCTCATCCATAAAGAGCACTCGATACCACTCGATACCACTACTCTTCTGGTCAGCTCCCGGCACCATAGAAACCAACGTCTCCAATGAGCAGGCGGTAATGGTACACACTGTACTGTAAATAGTGCGTCTATGCAGCCTCCTGGACACTGTAAAAGGTAATATTGGGCGTTCACTAGTCTGCTGCATGTGCCTTGCGATATCACCCATTTGTCTCTTCTCGCCAGGAGGACAATATACCGATCGTTCAACACCTTTCTTACCCATGGGAATCAATACTGAACTTTCGGACAATTGTTCCTGTCGTTTGAAATGCTCTCCGGGGTCGTGAAATGATTTTAGGAGCGATCCGGTACTCCTCCACCCCACTTGTCGCACTTCGACCTCCTTTCTATTTCCCAATGGCGGAAGTTTGCCTAAGTCATCGAAATGGTATATTCTTGATTGCCTGTTAATCATATCACACGGTAGTAGCAACTCGACGTCACTGAAATCACTATACACCGTGTAATAACTTCCACCGAGCAGATCAGCGTACACCGCCCGTGTGCTTTACATCCTTCTGATACTTCTCCGCCTAAGTTATGGACCATATTTGCACATGCCGCACACTACTGATCCCAAGTAGATCTCCTGATTGGTCTTCCGCTCCATTCTGTTGTGTTGTTTCGCTTTTATGCTAATTTCTCCACCTCGTCTTTAATATTTGGTCACCAGTGTAGTTAATACCAAAAATGAAGTTTAAAATTATTAACATTATAAGGTATTTCTCCCACTTTCTTTGCATGCCTTTGCGTGCCTTTTGTTTACCATAGCAACCATATTTGTTTGCATTTGAAACTTATCAGAATAGTGAATTAAGTCAGTTTCTACAACTTCAATGTTTTTTTGCCAAGTAGGACCAAGAGCAATCTTTTAGATTTGTGCACCGAAATATTTGCCTTCCTACCTGCAGGCCGTATTGCTCGTTTTTGCGTAGAAACTCTAATTTTAATTGTAAAAATTATTTTTTAATTGTTCTAACTGTATTTGGTGTTTTATACGTATTTTTATATATTTTTCAATTTTTTATAAAGATATTTTGAGGATTTTATGCACTTTTGCCTTGCCGCGAAGTGGGAACTGAATTAATTGAATGAGAAATCTATCTCTAATGAAATTCGAGGAAATAAGTTTAAATGAAATGCAACAACGTATAATTTAATATTCCGTACAAGGAAGTCATGTGGTGTACACATCAGTACTTTTATTTATGCTTTTATGCTTCATTCAGGCATATCAAAGCTAAAACATCTGTTTTTAAAATAAGAGCTGAAAATTTTGTGAAAATATATAAATTTGGGAGGGAAAAAATTAAAAATGGTTCAGGGTTATAATATATTAATTTTTGACGCTGAGTACACACTTTTCTCTTTGCTCAGTGCACTCTCAATTTAAACTTATGCTATATCAATTTTACTAACAAGTGAGAATTAGTAATAACATAATTTCAATTTCAAATCGCATGATTCTTTCATGAAAATGCCGGGAAATGTTTAACATTCGTTGCGTTAAATTTATGATATGTTTTTATCACGTGCCAGGATCAATATAAGAAACACTCATATTAAATTTAAATGAATATAGATACAACACATTTCATCTCTACTAAATGCCTTGCAGTTATTTTGCGTATAGTGAAACAATAGTTTACTTAATTAGCATTTCACGAGGATGTATGTTTACATTATCTTTTGAATTCTTCGCTTGCCTGTAGACTTTAGTAGTGTCTTTGAATGTGGAATTGCTAAATTAAGCAAAGTAAGTCTACTAAACACTAAAGTTTTAAATATCAAAAAATGGCTCGATTTAATATACCAGGAGGAGGTTTCGTAGGATTTAGAAAAGCAAAGATTCCTGTGGCGCTGAAGAAGGGTATAAGGCCATTTAAAGTAGAAAGTTATGAATTTGAAGACGAATATAGTGATGAAATATCTCGTCGAAGGTCGTCAAACATTCTAGAGGAAGATTTAATTCCGGACAGGGCCAAAAGTACTGTTAAACCTAGAAAACTAGGAAGGGCGAGGAAGACGTCCAAAAGGCAAAAAACCAAAACAGATTCAGAAACTGATCAAAGTGAAGTGGAACCAGGTATTTCAACTAAAGAAAAGTCAGATATTTCAAGGGAAAAGAAGATGAGCGAAACAAGTGAACAGAAACTAGGTATTTCAACCGATGAAAGATCAAGTACTTCAAGTGAAGAAAGCATGCCAAGTGAAGAAGAAACAGCTGCGGAATATTTCAGTACAGAAGAGTTAGGCATTTCAAGTTCAGATGAAACGAAAGATTCAAAAGAAAAGGATGTATTTTCACACGAAAAAGTGAGGGATACTTTGAGAGAAAAAGAAAGGAAAATTTCTACTAAACGTACTACAAGTGAAGAAGAGTTGGAAGTTTCAAATGAAGAAATCTCAGGTGAAGAAATATTAAAGCCTTCAAGTGTTGAAGGTCACAAAGGATTACCTCAGGAACAGCTCAGTGTTTCTAGTATGGAAGGAATTATTGCAGATGATGAGGAATCAGAAATTTCAGCTGGAGAGGAAACAGAAATTTCAGCTGCAGAGGAAACAGAAATTTCAGCTGGAGAGGAAACAGCAGTTTCAGATGGAGAGGAAACGGAAATTTCTGATGAAGAGTATACAAAAATTTCAGATGAAGAGGAAACAGAAATTTCAGCTGAAGAGGAAGCAGAAATTTCAGCCGGAGAGAGAACAGAAATTTCAGATTAAGAGGAAACAGAAATTTCAGCTGAAGAGGAAGCAGAAATTTCAGCCGGAGAGAAAACAGAAATTTCAGATGAAGAGGAAACAGAAATTTCAGATGGAGAAGAATCTGTAGCTTCAAAAAAAGAGGAAGTTACTAGTAAAGAACGGATGGATATTTCAAGTAAAGAAAAAGCAGAAATTCATAGGTCAAAAAGGCCAAAAATTTCAAGTAAAGAGTTATCGGCTGTTTCTGATGATAAATTTGAGGTTTCAGAAGAGCAATCAGAAATTTCAGGAGAAGGGGTGTCTTATACTTCAAGTGAAATTTCTAGCAAAGAACAGCTAACGGATGCTGCAAGTGAAGAAATGTTGGATATATCAGATGAAGAGAAAGCCATTGTTGATGAAGAAAATGCAGATATTTCAAGCGAATCTGAAATTAGTGAAATGGAAGGCGAAATAAGTGAAGGTATGAAAAGCGGGTAAAATGAAACACGAGTTATTAAAAATATAATCTAATTATTGGATGTTTGATAAATGCTACATTTTTGCAGAGGGAAAGGAATATGAAGAAGAAAGAAAAAGAAGCACCGTGATAGATATTCCAGAAACTGAGCCACCCACAGTTCATTTCAGAAAATCTAAGCATATGATATATAGAAAGAAAGACAGAGGTAAGTTATTTCCCTACAGAGATAAGATACTAGTTTTAGACATTGTAAAAGCATTCATTTTAATGATGAAAGCGCTCTTTGATATAAAATAAAATTATTTATCCCAATTAAGACATATTACTTATTTATGTGTATTTTAGGCTAATATTCCATAACCGGGGTAAGTTGGCGACAAACTATTCTGGCCTTCAAAATTTGATGAATTTTTTTGGCGGCAATGAAAGCACTAAGATGTGATTTTTAAACGTAAACAGAATAGTAACTTTTAAATTTTGCAGTAGCGAAACGCCGTTATTTTATGTAAACAGAATAGTAAAATGAGATGATAAAATGCGAGATGACATCAGTTTTGCAAGTAAAAACATAGTCTTATTTACGTAATTCATCATAAAATAGTAGAATGAGCAATTCTTGTAAATAATTATTGAGTAAATAAATATATACACTTATCAGATCAGAGCCCTGCGAAGTGAGTTTTAAAAGTAAATAGAATAACAAAATTTTATTTACAGTGGTGAACAGCGATTATTATGTACAAACAGAATAGTAAATGAAATTGATTAAATGATAAAACAACGTCGTAGAATTCAACACAATAAACAACTTTCGTTCAAAACTTTAAATAGCTTTAAAAACTTTAAAAATGATAAAACAACGTCCACATCTTTCAATTGCCACATGCAAGAAACAAAACTTAAAACAAATAATTAACTAAATAAAATTAAATGAAAATATTCATAACTTCACGTCATCAGAAATCCAACATTCTCCCACGGAGAACAGCTTAACCTTCTGCAAATATTTATATAAATATAATATTAAGCATATATATGTGTAAATATATATATAATAATGTTAAACAGTAAAACTTTTAAAAACAAACACAGTATTTCAAAATTAAATTTTAAAAAAATCTTCTGGCTACACTGAATTCGCACTTTTACAATTACCGAAATAAAGCTCGAGGTTTGCCACAAGAAAAAGAAAACATACAGTCGGAAACCACAACCAAGTAAAAATCGCGCCAAATAAAAAAACTCTCGCCAAGATTGGCGCTCACCCCGATTATGGAATATTGACCATTCACTCGATACCAGAATATTTCGGTATCGAGTGAGTATTCGGAATATACTCAGAAGATAAAGGAAATGCACTGGTGGACGGGCGCATTACAGAAACAACAGCGTAAATGCAGGGCTTTGCGAAGGAGATTGAAGTACGAGAGGCGGCTAGAGATCACCTCGGACACACTCACCATTTTTCAAAGAGAGCGAGCAAAATACAAAAGGATGATCATCTAGGCCAAAGTAACATCTTGGAAAGAGTTCTGTTCCAATACAAAAGAAGTATACGGGCTGCATCACAAGATAGCAACGGGGAAGGTGTTCAAGCCTTCGCAGCTTCAAATCCCGTCATCACTGGATAGCAGCCAAAGCTACACGACTGACACTTTGAATGTAGTTTTAAATACTGTGTTCAGTCAGGACGATGCAGAGCAAGACACCGCCGAACAAGCTGCCCTTCGAGCAGATACAAATAGTGTAGACACAGAAGCAGATCCGGAATTCACGCTTCAAGAACTGCAGAGAGTGCTGGCAAGTCTGCCGCGAAAGAAAGCCCCCGGGACAGACGGCATGGACTACACAATCGTAAAAGCTACCATAAAGGCATACCCTACATTCTTCGTAAGCTATTTCAATAAGCTTCTGTCAGTAGGACTTTTTTCCAACACCATATAAAATAGGGCAAGTGGTATTATTCCTCAAGAAAAACAGAGATCCTTCAGAAGCCTCATCATTCAGACCCATCTGCCTTTTGTCGGCGATGGGGAAGGTGTTGGAGAAGCTAATCATCAACAGACTGCGCCACCACTTGCATCTCAACGGTTATCTCAGCAGCAGCCAATATGGCTTCAGGACTGGTTCATCGACGGTGCATGCCTCTCCATAATATAAAGGAGGCAATTCTGGAAAATAGACACAGCGGCCACCACCACACGGCTATGGTCAGCATAGACCTAAAGAATGCTTTCGATACGCTGTGGTGGCCGGCTATCAAGCAGGCATTACGAAGGGCCAATTGCCCAAGTAACATATATAGTATAATAAGCAACTACCTGCAGGATCGGAAGCTATTGGCGGTGCATAATGCAGGCATTATCGAAAAGGTGCAAACTAGAGGATGTCCGCAAGGATCGTGCGCTGGGCCGAATTGCAATGAAGTTTGCGCGATCTTTCATGACCAGTGTACCAAACTTAAGCTCACAATTGCAGAACATAAGTCAAAAGTCCTTTTAATTCCGAAAAAAGGAGGATCCTTAGTAAGACGCCCCACCATAAAGATTAACAACCAACGCCTGCAGATAGTGGACCAGCTAAGATATTTAGGGGTCACTTTTGATCATAAGATGACCTGGATCCCTCACGTGCAGGATCTCAAACTCCGGACGGCAGCCATAGCCAAACAAATGAAACTCTTTTATGGTCACAAATGGGGGCTTAACCCCCATATTCAAAAGGTATTGTACACGACAGTCATCGAGAAGATAGTGACGTATGCTGCCGCAGTATGGGCCTACCCAATGCAAGGAAGGAAGGTCAGACATCTTAACAGCATACAACGACCATTCGCATTGGGAATCACACGGGCCTACCGCACCACCTCCACCAATGCCATTAACGTACTTGTTGGTCTCCTTCCCCTGCACATCCGGGTTGAGGAGGAGGCAGCACGCCAACACATTTTGCAACTTAAGAAGGCAGTTACTTTTGACGATGAAACATACTACCCGGATGAGTACGAAACAAACTTCTGCCCTCTCGACGTCCAACCCGGCAGAGAAAGGCAAAGGGATACTTATCTCAATTAATCCCACTGCAACTCATCACTAAAGGGAAATGACCATCTATACAGACAGGTCTAGATTGGACGAAAGAGTGGGATGCGCCTATGTCGCCACGAAACAAGACAACGCAATCGAGAAATGGAAGGGACAGTTAAGACAACATAACAGTGTCTTTCAAAGCGAAGCAGTGGCAATTGCACAAGCGATTCGCTACCTGCACTCGCACCAGCATAGCCATGTCACCATTAAAACGGACAGCTTATCATCGTTATATGCCATTTGGAATGCAGATCATCCCTCGGAGATTATACAGGGAATCCAGAGAGATCTTAGAAGTAACCCCCAGTACCGCACAAAATTAGAGTGGATAAAGGCTCATGTTGGCCACTATGGCAATGAACTTGCCGACCAACTCGCCAAAGAGGCAACAACTGACCCGCCTGATGCACCAATTATCATCCCATGGCCGCATTCGTATTTAAAGAAGACACTACGCCTAAGGGCTACTGGCATGTGGCAGAAGAACGAATGGGACCAAAGCACCACAGGGAGAAGGACCCACTACTTCATCGGCTATGTGGACACTAGCCGAAATGTAGCGAACGCACAGTTGGTAAGGTTCATTTCCGGGCATGGGCCCTACCCGGAATATTTCTTCAAGCGTGGCATAAGTCACACAAGTCAATGTGCATGCGGCGACTCAGGCTCACCAGAGCACTATCTAACGTCATGCCCATTAACAGAAGGACTGCATATCAATCTCCCTGAAACAAATCGCCAGCCGTTCTGTAAATATATGATAAAACAGCGGCACTTTATTAAAAAGCTGGTACAGTTGATGGACAGACTGTCCGACTTAGATACAGACTTGTGTCAGCCATAGAACAACCCAGCATGTAAAAACAACTTAAGCATTTTAAAAAGGACATGTATTGCAATGTAGGAAAACTGTCATTCAAGTGAATTGTAAGAAACTATAATGTAGACTAGAAACTCACAGTATAAAGACTGCCTGTATTCATACCTGGAAAGTCAGTTGCTTTTAACAATGTGCATGTACTGTGTAAATAAATTTCGGCAAATTATACCGTAAGACCATATATAATGAACCGATATATAATGTAGGCATAACGAATGTATGAAAGTGCATATATCTGTAAGCAAAGTAATGTAAGGGAGTGTAATATATGTTAATATTTTTGTGTATCAGTAAGCTTGGAGTGTAATATATGTAAATATTTTTGTGTATCAGTAAGCTATGTATAAGTAAGTTATGCAATTTAAAGTAATGCAATATAAATGCAGAAATGTCTAATAAAAATGCATGGGTAACATATATGTTTTGTATTATGAATAAGGGATATAGGATGTCTAACGCAAAGCAATGTATGTATTGGAATGTCTATTTCATGTACTGGAAAATTATGCAATAAGTACCCAAATAACATGTAATGTAAGTAACCTGTAAGACTATTATGTTTGTAATATATTTGTATCTAAAAATTAATCAGAATGTATATGCATGTATCTCATGTATCTGTATGCAACTGCAAGTATATGTAACCTAAAGTTAAGCAGTGTAGGTAAAATTAAGTAATATGTGAAGCAGGCGTGCCTGACTATGTATGTATATAAAAATAATGTAACGCAAGGCACATGTAATATTGGCATATGTAACTGTACATGCAAACTGTATTTATATGCAATCTACAAGTAATGTAGGTATATTTATTGAAATGTACAGCTAAAAACTGTAACTGTACACAAAAGTAATCCAACGCAATGTAAGATTAATGTAATTCAGGTAATGCATATGCATTGTATGCCGGAAATGAGAGACAAAGTCAGTATGTAACTCTGTAAATCACGTTATCCATAGAATATGTTAACCAGCAAACAAGAATGTAATACTAAATATTATCAGCCCTTGTATGGCCATGTAATTGCTCTTTTGAAAGACTCAAGGTTCAACTCTAGATATTGGTGGACGTGGCGCTACACCAATTAACCGACGGTAAAGGGGTGGTGCCCACGTCCCCCGTCGCATGTCGCATGTAATAAAAGCAAAGATAGGACCTTTCAAATACTTCAGAAATTAATCATTTTCCTGTTTGGGGGAAGCTTCTTCTGTATTTCACATGTGGAACACAGATGAAATTTGTGATTTAATAAAATTTGTGATTTTGTGATCTTTTCTTTTTAATTTTTTTCATCGCTAATTAATTTTTTCAACTCTTAAATTATTATTTAGATACATTTCTCTGATTATTAAAATTTTTCAGGTTTTGGAAAATTTTGTCAATGTCTCAGCCCTTGTATTGCTAGACTGCTTTACAGCAAAAGAACAGAATACAGAGCTGTGAAAGCCATGCTTGGATTCCCTATCGGATGCCTGTTTGGTTACAGTAAGTGAGCCAAATCTTACATGTCAAATAATAATCATTTGAAGGAAAAATCTGATGCGGACGCCACATTACTTTCTTGTACGGAAATAAAATTATACGCGTTGATATGATTATTTATATACTTAATTCATAAAACTTTTAAACTTAAATTTTAAAAAATTATAATTAACATTAAAATTACCATAGTTTGTTTTATTTTTCAGTTTTGTACAAATTGGTCATAGAGCGTCTTGAGCTTGGTCCCTTCACCAGCTGGATCCTCGGTTGCATCTTAGCGATGTTTCTTGGAGTAGGTTACGCTTTTTCTACTCAGGTGAGGTGCATGTGCTTTTTGGCTATTCCAAGTTTCTTCGGAAAAACGGGTCGTGCGTATGTCAGCACATACGTCATCACTTTTGTCATCACTGGTAGGTGTTCCTTAATATCACGAGCTTTATTAATAAGTTTCATGTTTTTTGATTAAGTTACGGAATTTCCGAATTAAGATTAAATATTTTTACCGAAACGCATAAATATGTTTTCAGGGACACAAAATAAAGTTTTATGTAAAACGACTATATTTTGATTTTAAGTTTTTATTAATTTGCCTGCGTTTAGTTATTATAAATTTCGGTGTATTGTACGAGTTCAGCTATATGAATTCTGCTTAGTAAAATGGAAAATTAATAATACAATTATTGTTTAAATTGAGATAATGAATTAAAAATTATAAAAATGAAAAATGATGTGTACACCACATGACTTCCTTGTACGAAATATTAAATTATACGCTTTTTTGCTGCTTTTCATTTAAATTTATTTCCTCGAATTTCATTAGAGATATATTTCTCATTCATTAATTCAGTTCTCACTTCGTGCCAGGCAAAAATACATAAATCCCCAAAATATCTTTATCAAAAATCGAAAAATATAGAAAAATTTAAAACACCAAATACAGTTAAAACAATTTTAAAATAAACAATTTTTACAATTTCTTTGCAAAATTAATTAATTTGGCTAGCTGACGTGCTAGAAAGCAGATTTTTCGGTGCACAAAACTGAAAGTTTTCTTTGGTCTCACTCGGCAAAAAGACACTGAAGGTGCAGAAACTGACTTAATGCTAAGTTGCGAATGTAAACACATATGGTTGCTATGGTAAAAAATTTAGCCGCACTTAAACAACTTTTAAATTGTTGATAAGTTTACAGCTATTGCAAGCAAATTAACTAAAAGCATAAAAACCTTAACCAGAAGGTAAGAATAACATAATTCAACCATTTTTAAAGCAAAAAATGCACTATTTATCAACATATAGGAATAAAAAAAAACTGAGCTCGCCGAGCCGAGTAACAAAGTGTATATATATATATATATATATATATATATACCCAACTCTGTTATATACCTTTGGTGGAGCCGATTGCAACCAAAAAGCTAGGTGCACAACTACATGATATCGCAGTCCTATATGCAAAATTTCAACGTTCTGAGGCTAACCGTTTTTGAGTTATGCGAGATACATACTTGCTTACGTACAGCCGCCACAAAAAAATCTCTTCTGTATTCATTTTAAATCCTTTTTGCAACCAGTTTTGTGAAAAAGTGGCCTTTATTCTGTCCTTACGTACATATGTCACTCAAAAACATCGTTAAATTGCTTTCGATAGCGGTAAAAATGGATATTTTCGTTGGAAAATTATACCCAAAACTTTCGCGACTACAATACTTCCTTTACTTCGTACGAGGAAGTAAAATTGTAAATAATATCAATGTTTGATTAAAATTAAAGTGAAACGCGGAACTAAAATTCTTTCCAGTTTCTAACCTGTGAAATGTGTATAGGCGTAGTTAAATAAATAGATAGATATAGACGTGTAACCAAGTGTTTAGAAAATGTTATAGATTCATGCATCAGTTGGAGTTGGATAAACGTATCGGTCACGTAACCGCCTCGAAAGCGTTATCCAGGGCTGACAGATATTGCCCCTTGAAGACCACGAGAAGGAGCAAAGACATATAAACAATCTACGGTAGGAATTCAGACTGGCGCCCTGGAGTTCAAACTAGCAGTCACTACTACTCAGTCCAAACTAGTCTACTAATATTAAAATATCAAATTACCATTTTCTACGACCAAATTTCCCCGATGTGATTTAAAACAGAAAATTTATGTAATTGGTAAATTCAAGTTCTTTGTTCTCCTCTTAGAACGCTAAACGTCAGTAAGTCCTATTTTAACTCACAGATGAGGAGATTCTGAAGCTCTGTTGTGAAAACCGAGGGAAAGTCTCTGCGAATAAATTCGTAAAATAAATATCAACAGCTATATTTCCTAAACGAAGAGCTATACCAAAGCTCACGGAGGAATAAATATTTTGACAATTTCGTTTTATATTTTTATAATCAAGCTATTTTCATTTCAAACACAGGTCCTGTTAGCAATCTACTTTACAACGCTGGGGAGTCGATGCGTGTTTTGAGCTGCATTGCGTCCTTGAATCTGAACCATACCATGGAAAGGTTCAAGCTCATGTTTGTGCCCGTCAAAGAAATTGTCTGGGACTTTGTTGTGAGTTATTTAATATTTATATTATACATTTGTTCAAAGTGATATTATCTAAATAAAAAAGAACTTACAGTATTAAAATGACCATCCCTAAGAGCAGACTTCTTTTGTTAAGCTATGCAGCTTGAATCTGAACAAGAAGGCAAAACTTTAGGGGGTGACAAAAGGTAGCAACATACGAGCAATATTCGTCACAAAATGTATGGTCGGATCGCAAGCGGGGAGAAGTTAAAGGATAGTTTTCCGTTGTCACATTTAACATAAAAATGAGAGGAGATACTTCAAGAAAACATTTTTTAACAGAACATTGTCAAAGAAATTGTTCAAAAGACCTTCCAGCTGCAATGCAGGCTTCACACCAGCGGGATAAAGGGGATTGAAGCACATTTGGGAAGACATCAGGCATTTTCCGAATATCGCCGGCAATGACGGAAATCCTGGCGACTAAATCCATATTGGTTTCAATGGGGGACTCGAAGATTAGGCTTTCTATTTGGCCACACAGGAAAAAGTGCAAACAGAGATCCGGTGATGTTGGTGGCCAACCTATGGGACCACCTCGACCCATTCATCGTCCTGGAAATCTTGTGGTTCGTAAACCAGCAATCCTCTCGGTAATCTATGCTAGAAAATGCCGTTGGCCTTGATATTTGATACCTTGCTACTTGTGTGATTATGCAAGCTATCTACTGCAGTATCGGTACTTTGCTCACATGAATGAGCTCCGCTATGGGCGTGGTGATGAGAAGTTACATAAAGTAGTTCTCCAAATGAGATATCAGGAACTTCAAAGAATTCAAGCACTTTGCTTTGAGAGAGCTAAGAAAATCAATGAGCTAGGTGGCAAATGTGTCGCCATCTATTGATGGAAGAAGCAGGCAGAAAAGTTCCCGGGAAGAGATACTTGTGCTGTACTGGCAAATCAGAATGAGGATTAAATCCTGGGAACGCGGACCAAACGATTATTTACAATGCCACCTAGAGGGTCGCCTTTTGCGTTCCGATCATACGTTTCTATGACGAATATTGCTGGTACAGCTACCTTCTATCAAGTTTTGCCGCTTTGTTCAGATTCACCATATATCTTTGAAAGTGAGTAACGAAAGCGAATTGGAAAACTATAATTGTAAAACTAGATTAAACTTAGTAAATGTAGTAAATATACATATATAAAAGCACAATATATTTCCCTTTGATTGCATATTTCTTGCAATAAAACAACAAAACTTTTAAAACAATTAATTAATAAACCTTGATCGTTGATATTGGTGTATGGTGTATTTAATTATGGCAAAGCACACTAGGGCTATCTGCCTAAGAGGAGGGATACCTTCGTGGAGGACTTTCTAAGGGAAACTGGCTCGTATACACGTTACACATGGGGAAAACCACGAAAGCGCCCATGCAGCCAGCCCGTTCGCGGGATTCGAACCTCGGACAGAACTACCAGTGTTCAGCGACTTTACCGCTCGGCCGCTGGTGGGCCCGTTGATATTGGAAATACGTACAAGAAACGTTTAAAATTTTTTTGCACGTCAACTAACAGATTAATTTCTGAGAATCCTGAATCTGAAATACCAGATTAAACCTTTACTACAAGAATCCTGAATCTGAAATACCAGATTAAACCTTTACTACAAGAATCCTGAATCTTAACTATCAGATTAAAACTTTACTACCAGAATCCTGAATCTGAACTATCAGATTAAACCTTTACTATCAGAATCCTGAATTTTAACTATCAAATTAATCTGAATCCTAATAAATTTACGGTTTTCAGTTTTTCACGAAATCTTGGAGAACTTTAAACAAATATTTGCCAGAGGGGAAGCGAAGACTATCATATTCGGTCTCTTATTGTTTTGCATTTGTTTTATGGTCCCATCACGAGAGGCGAGACTGTCATTGGCATTTTATTCAAAACACATAATATGCGTTCAGGTGGGTTAATCGGAATAAAAAACAATTTTTGTGGAAATTCAAGAAAGCACTTCTACTCATTGCTTTAATGAAATTATTTGGCTTACTAATATTAACCCTACTATCACGGTATCCACTACTGGCACGGTATCCGTCTACACTAATTGATTAATTCGTTCTAACTGTGCATGTGCATTTGTGCCTGTAGTCGTAACTACCATAGGAAAACAATAAATATCTCTCAAATTAAGACCTCGACAGTTTTAATTTGAGCAATAAAATAGCTGGAACAATAAAACAATAAAATAGCTGGAAGTTGTCTCGACAACTGTCAGCTTCCAGCTGACAACTTCCAAACAAAGACAACTTCCAGCTATTTTATTGTTTTTACAGTCATCCTCTTTTATCTTATTGTTTTTACAGTCATATTCTAGTGAAAATAGCTGGAAATCAAAGTGGTTTTATTTTATTAATAAATAATAGATTCAAATTGAATATTTTCGAAATTATTTTAGCATAAAACATAACTGAGATGTGACAGTTGTAGAGTCATTAGGTTATTTTGAAAGCAGGAGGTGTGAAAAATGAGCAATGCCCTCACCGGGACTCGAACCTGTACCTCTAGAATAGGCGCCGAGTGCGCTACCGTTACACATGAAGGCATGCTAGAAGGAGGGAGAAAATACCTTATATACCCCCTTTTAAAGAGCGACTGGTGATTAGAGAACTCAATCGGCAAATCCTGGTTGTAGATAATCATCTTCCACCACGTTTTCAGTTCGGGCGCCACTGCGGAGACATTGTTTGAAGCAGGAAACACAAAAAATGAGCAATGCCCTCGCCGAGCCTCAAACGTGGACCTCTCGAATACGGGTCGATTGTGCTACCGTTACACCACAAAGGCATGCAGAAAGGAGGGAAAAAATACCTTGTACAGTAATTAGTTGTTAACTGGCTATCACTGTGTGAAAATATCACCTATTGAAAATTTTCATTTCATTGGGGATTTGATATTTTTTCTTTATAAAACGCTGAAAATTGCTTCCATGCTCTTCAATATGCAAATCCACAAGACGATGCGTTTCAAAACACTGAAAGTGATATCATGTACTCCTCTTATTGTTTCGTAGATCACGAAGTCCCAGGCATATTATGGTTTATTTTATGATTCAAATAACTCAGTAATAATAATAATAATAATAATAACAAAGAACGAGGTGATTTATAGAGATCAATCGAGCTTCCAAAACATCTACGAACATCTCCATTGTTTGGTTCTATATATGATAGTAGTACCATATTGCTGGAATCAAAAATGGAATTCTTTAGGCATTGTCCACGAATTGTTTGATCATACCCTTATGTACTCTGGACGTAATCAGTTGCATAAAAAATATCTGGTCGAAAAAATTCGACTCATAGATATTACTCAACGTCACTCCTGCTCTTTGAGATGTGTAATCTAACATAATGTGTCAACGTCACTCCTGCTCTTTGAGATTATGTGTAATCTAACATAATATGTGCAGACTGCGAATATAATGACCTCATATGACGACTGCCAATGTGCATATCAATTATATATCTCATATAATGACTTCCAATATGCATATATTCTGACCATTCCCATCTCCATTAAATAAAATCAAGCTTTGTTTCTAAGCAATTTTTTTAAGAGGACTTGGTTCCCCATAATCAATGAAATCACTGACTTTTTTTTTTTTTTTTTTTTTTTTTTTTTGTAGAAAAATACCTTAATATCCTTACTACACTGAAGAGAAATTCTAAAATTATCTGGCGATAATAAATAGTATAAAAAAGCTTTTAAAAGTTTGACAGCCCTTTAAATGCCACACTGCCGCAGCGTTTATTTTTTTTTTACTTCGTAATTTTTTGAGTAACTTTTTAAAAATCAGTGTGAATGAAAAGGAGTGTAATTAAATATGGCTGCAACTATCAGAAAACTCTGTTTATGTGTATAAATCGATTTATTTGAATACAAAGCGAAGTTGTAAAAAAATTTGTTTCTCCTTTAAACTGGCAAATTTATATACATATATTGAGCTCAGCAAATACTTCTATGAGTATTATCAGTCAACTTTGCTATGCTTCTTCAGATTTAAAATTATTTGTGATAAGGTACGAAGAGAAAGAGGTGGTGTAATGAAAGTGATCAAGTTCCTGACTGAAGTATTATTGATATAGTGCTGGAATAAACATTAAACTCTTTAATTAATTAAAATACATCTAAAATAATTTAAAATGCAATTTATATACGAGAACAAATGGCTAAAGGAAGAGAAGACATCACATATGCTACTGAGCGGTTTTGAATAAAATGTTTCAAGTCTCTTCAAATTTCGCTTTTTGAAAAAAATGAATAAAACGACAAATTATTATTAATATTGATTATAGGTGTTTTAGAAAAAATATTATAATTAATTCAAGTATTAAAATTGTTTTGAACGTGTTTAAAAACAAAAACAGGTAAAGAAAAATTCTTTTTGAATTTTACGATTTTTTTGCAATATACCTAGCCAGATAAGGTTTTAAACAAAAGCATCTAATTTATGTTTATACTAATCAATCGAACAGTGCTAGGTTTTATTTTATATATATATATATAGGTATTGGAATTCAATAACAAAATTTTTAAGAAATTTGAATTGATATAATGACCATTCAGACAGTTTACATTGTTTAAACTGAGTTTTCACAATTTCCTTTTTTCGATAAATCCTTTTACTTAAAGTCCTAAAACCTTGAACAGATATGGACTAAATTATTTAATACTTTTACTCTGTATTTAAAATTATATACTTGATAGAAACAAGGATGGGTTTTTCAAAACAATGAAAAGAAAAATTATTGGAAGTAAAAAAGTATTGTAGTGTTTTTTTAAAGTTTTTACATAAAAATATGCTTTTTATTTTTTTTCTCAGAAACTAATTCATTAATTGCAAAATGATCCTTAAATTTATTAAAAACACTCTAATAAATACAACAAGAAAAATTGGGGAAAAAAACATTGAAAATTGTGGGAGAAGAAAACATTTTTAACTTTAAATTTTTCTTCAAAACATTTTAATTTAAAAATAGTAACTAGCAATTTTTTTTCAGCTTAAAATCATTTTGTCTTCTAAATCCATTTAATATTATTCATAAAATTAGATGTAAGTTTTTAAATAAGAAAAAAATCTTTCAAAAGGTATCATTCAAAAGGGGGAATGATTCAAAAGTCCCCTTAAGCTGGTTAATGACGCATTAACTTGTGAATGTCCTTCTCGCTATTTGCCTAAGGGGAGGGATGCTTTCGTGGAGAACGTTCTAAAGAGATCTGTCCCGTATACACGTTCTGTCACGTATATACATGAGGAAATAATAAGTGAAATTTTGTGATAACTTCGTGTGTTTTCTTGAGACTTATGCACACTGACAATCCATTCTTCCTACCAATATTACTGTACCATAAAGTTTGCTTTTCTATGAAGTCACAGACTCTTAATCTGCTCTAAAACTGCTTTTTCTCTACTCCCTTTGTGTCTTCGTTTCTATTTTCTCTCTTCTTCTAGCATGCTTTCGTGGTGTAACGGTTAGCACACTCGGCGCGTATTCAAGAGATCCAGGTTCGTGTCCTGGAGAAGACATTGCTCCTTTTTCATCCTTGCTTCAAAAAAAAAAATCCCTAATGGTAATGGCGGCCGAACTAAAAGGTTGTGGATAATGATTCTTCGCCACCAGGATTTGGCGATTGGATCCCTTAATCACCAGTTGCCTTTTAAAACGGGAGTATATAAGGTATCTTCTCCCTTCTTCTAACACTCCTTCGTGGTGTAACGGTTAACACACTGGGCGCGTATTCGAGAAGTTCAGGTTCGAGTCTCGGCGAGGGCATTGCTCATTTTTCACGTCTTTCACTTCAGAAAAATCCTAATATCTCTATATCACTACCTTCCATTTTTATTCGATGTTGTGATGTATATGCACGCTTTTGGGGAAGTCAAACATATTTACCCTAAACAAGAATTCATGCAACATTTTTTCACGCATTTCTTTTCTTATGATAGTGTTCTTAATGTTGCTTTATGAATTTTTCATCTAAGTTTCATAAGAATACTTTAACGATTATTGATGTTACTTACAGGGAGCAGGAAAGAAAATTCAAGATGATACTAAAGAAATCAACAGTGCATACAAAACCATAGAAGATGAGGTAAATGTTTGTAAATGATTCAATATTCTGTAATGTGTTTATCTAAAATTTTTGCCATGATAGAATGGGTCTACAGCGTTTTACCATGCATTTTAATGTTCCTATGTTTGAAATACCATGGCAGTATTTCTGTTACACCCTCAGATTTTCGAGGAAATCATTTTTAAAATGTTGTTAAACAAATGGTTCAATTTTCTTTTATATCGTGAAAACTAACGTTAGTTTGGTAAATATTTTGATGTAAAATCAAGGTTATGATGTTATTGTGAAGAATGATTGGCGACCTCAAAATTAACTATTTTAGATTTTATGTTCTTCCCCTAAATTCATCTCTTCTCCCAAATTCGAGATCTTTCCATGTTACATTAACACTGCTTGAAAAAGGAAACTAAAACTAAAATTAACAAATCACAGCTTCGAGTACCTTCTGCATCATACGTAGTATAAATACTCTTGGCAAAACTACTACGTCATTTCTTTCCATAGTTTCCACCCTGCAAAAAGCTTTGCGCCGCTAATGCTGTCCTGTCCAAAATGCTTACGCCGTACTTGTAAAAACCGTGTACGTGAAAATTATTGTATTCGTACTGTGATTAAAAAATACCTCGACTGAAAAAGGATGATTTTTGATATGTGCGAAAATTAAGATTGGTGATTTGTAGAAATCTAGACTTGTTATTTTCATAAGTACGCATTTAACCCTCAGCCTTGACTGACATCGAAAGCTGTTGAGAGTTCCAGTGTTTTCTTCTACACATTAAATTATGACAGCATTAATATGTAATAATTTATTTTGTAATAGATTATTTAGTATATTATCCCGTGCATATGAAGGAAAACATAGTTGGGCAATGCCGAAAACAAAATCAAAAATTAAACCAGTCCTCTGCAGGATTGAAGTAAATTCAACTTAAAGCATATTTTATTTTTTAGAGTAGTCGTTTGTGCATATGTGTATTGTATTTTATTCTTTTTCTCTCCTTATTTTATTCTTTTTCTCTCTTTTTCCAAGTGTTCGAATGCGCGTAGGGAAAATTTTTAATATATTAGAGATTCGATCTTTCGATTTTAATGTTTTTATTGCAAATTCAATTGAATCTTTTATTGGTCTTTAATCTCAAATGATTCAGAAGAACGAAATATGTATTCTATCAATTTGCTTTTTCACTTTTCGGGTTTATTCTAATGATGGATTCTTATTTAATTTTGATTATGTTAGATAGATCTTTTTCTATGGTTGCGATTATTAATATTACTCGGAAACTGCCATGTTTTGATTCCAATTTAATTTTAATTGCTTTAAGTTTATATACATTTATAACGGGTTTGTTGAATTGGTAAAATTTTAAGAACACTGGTGTAAACCATATATATATATCTAGAAAATTTAATTATTTACTTTATTATTTCGTAATAATTAGGTACGTGACGAAAATGAGCTGAAAGAAGCTGTAGCCGAAACGAAACAGCTGGACGAAGAAATTCAGCAAGAATCTCGAGTAGACGTAGTGAAAAGGAAATTTTCAGGTGCTAAAGATGAATTCGGCAACAAGGCTGAGAAACTGTATGGCATGAAGTCGGAACTGCGATGTGAAGGTAGACTGTTGATATTTTTGTTATTATTTTTATTTTATGTAAATGAAGACCGTATTGGTTTCAGCTTTTCTCACTTTCTGTCTCGAATGAGATATCCAGGTATTCGTTATCTATCTATATAAAGAAGAATGTCTGTTTGAGTGTTTGTTTCTTTGTTTGCGATTAATTCAGTCATGACTATAGCTATCATCACCAAACATTCTACACTTCTTTTCTGGGTTCTGGGAAAGATAGATGTCCCCTCCCCCCAAAAAAAACCCCTAAAATGAGAGATATTAATTAAAAACACTGAGAACGCTAATTTTCGCCCTCATTTTTCCGAGTGGCAACAGTCTCGAACGGTGGAGATAAAAATCTGCTTTATTTCGAGAGCTGTTGCCACTGCTCGCTTTCAAATCGTACAGTTTGATAATAAAAAATTTCTAAGTTTTACAATAAAATAAAAATAGCATTTCCAAACATTAAATGCATTATTCCCAATTCCAAAATTCGTGAGAAGCCATTTTGACTGTTCCCATCTTCGTACGACTTTAATCAGCCGAGATATTAATTAAAAACTCTGAAAACACTAATTTTCTAACCCATTTTCCTCAGTGGCAACAGTCTCTCGAGTTGGAGATAAAAATGCTTTATTCCGAAAATTGTTGCCACTGCTCACTTTCAAATCATACAGTTTGTTAATTAAAAATTTGTAAGTTTTCCAAAATCTATATATATAAAGAAGAATGATTGTTTGTGCGTGTTTGCTTGCGTTATGGATTTCTGACCAATCACGATCAATTTCTTGACACATTGAATTGACTCAAATTGAATATAGATGAAATATTGAATGGAACTTTAGCTTTTACGACCATTTGATTAGAAAGACAAAAATCATTACAAACTGCGTGGCATTCTTGCTGATATAATGAGAGAGAATTAGTTTATTTTTCTATGGGCATTTTTATGGTTCCACATTGCATCAGACTGAAAAATATTAGGACTCTGAATGGTATTTTTTCTACCGTTATTAGAGAAGGATTGCAGCGGGATCGTTCTCTCCGTTGTTCGATACATTACTCTCAATGTAACTTAACTGGCATCGGGTACTGCCATTAGTACGAATTTTAATGTAGTATAAATCTCTTTGCTGTTCAGAACTTACTTTGCTTTTCATTTTGTTCTTAAAATGCCTTTTAACCCACTGATTTTATTCGAAATGATGCACAAGGAAAGATTTCTCAAACGGTTTGATGTGTAAAATACTTTATTACAAATGAAAAATGAAATTCTAAAAGAAATCAATAACAGATAGCCAAATTCTTAAGACTATACTCGTAGAATTCTCTTACCGTTTATGAATACACCTGTATTTCTTAAATTTAGAACCAGAAATTTTATCCCTGCCAACGGTCTGATTCTGTGCACGATTTTGTAGATCTCCCCCCTTATAAAACGAAAATGCGTGCGAAGTTCTCCTTAAAAAGTCCTGCACGAAGGCATCCTTTCTCTTCTAAGTAAACACTCGGGTGCTCTGCAGTATCGAGAAAACAACTATTAAATTTATAGGATTTAGTGTATTAGGTGACAAATTTTACAGTATTACTTATAAGGAACCAAATTATTTTATATATTACTTACCGGAACTATAAAGATATCCGCATGACTCATTTCCTGTAACAGTACAGGAAACAAACTCAGATGAAGGTTTATCAATCTCATAAATTATAACTGCAGTAGGCGCCCAACAGGTATAGTGGTTAGCATCGTTGACTGCCGTTCCGAATCACGGAGAAGGCATGGATGTTTGTAAATGCATAGTGTCCTTGTGGCATGGGGGCACTCTAATATGCGGCGAACCGAAAGTCCTCTCGAGAGGTTAGGGGTAGGGAAAGAGGGGTGGGAGACCCTCAGACCCGTCCCCCTGGGGTACTAACCATCAAAATTGGGGGAGGAACTGAGCTGAATCGCACTGTCCCCTGTAAGATGCTCAAGGCTGTTGCCAAGTATTCTGAATAAAAGGAAAAAAAATTAGATCAATTTAAAATATATTATAGTCTAACCCGCCGGAATGCAGAATGGAATTCCCCCCCCTTTGTATCTAAATTTTATTATTATTTTTTTACTAATGGAAGCAAAGGGCAATACATTGGAGTTACAAAAGTGCTTCTGCATCAAACAATCTGTACGGCATTTTGTTGGTTTATATAATAGACCATCCTAATCATATTTTACGTGTTTCTCTTTACTAATATAACCCTGTAATTTTCTGTTATACTTTTTGAGATTACTGTTTCCAATTTAAGCGTTTAATAAATAATACCGCTCTACAATCTTAGATGTGAACAGTACTCGCAGACTGCAGGTTTCTTACCGTTGGCAGTCATTTAGCTGAAAACCACAAACGAGAAAATTGTTTTTCCATTCACATTATCTGTACATATAAATAAGAATGTTTGTGTATTGGCAATGCACTCAGTCACTAATATAGCTATAGTCACCAAACTTTCTACAATTCTTTTCTGGGTCTTGGGGAAAGGTCGCCGCCTACTTTTTACCTAAAACAATTCAATCGTTTGCTTGCTACAGGTAGTCTATGGAACTGAACAATAGGATTGCAGCATTACAAAACACTGAGTTAATCGGTAGCGAAGGCCGTTTAGCATTCACGTATTTTGTCTATATTTAATGTCTTTTCTCAACCAGAGTGGATACACGCTTCTTCAAAGTGCACTTTTGCCTAGTTTAGAAATTTAAAATTCTTCTGTTTCTTTGATTTTGATTTATGAAATTTTTGCCTATCACTATCAATCTAATATATACGCATGCACAAATACAGAAAGGAAAGTACAAAGTATCAGGGTGGGAGAAATACCTTATAAAATATAATAAACTTTTCTCCTTGAAAGTTATTAAAAGAGATTAATCATGACCGATTGCCAATTTAAGTAAAACAATTACAACATATATTAAAATAATTTAGCCCTTAAAATCTTGAAAACAATCAATAAATTAAAAATAATAAATTAATGCCAAATTAAATTAAACCACTTTAAATGAAAACTAATCAGTTACTAAAATTAAAGATTAAATTAAATTAGTTAATATGTTACACAATACTTCTGAAAGTTTTGAGATACGAAACGTACAACCCTGTCGCATGCTGATCCTAAGAATTAAAGTTAGGGAATTCATTTTTCTGAAAAAAAAAAAAAATACTCCAATTGATGGAAAATTTTACATTATAATTTGGTTCTAAATTTTATTTGCAGGTATTTTTACAAAAGGTGTTAAAGGTTGCTATAATAGCTTTGAATATGCTTATGACAAGTGCCATCACCATTTACCCGTTATTGGCTACCTACTATGCTGGCCTATGAAACTCACTTTTATATGTGATATCGGGGGCTGTAAGTATCATTGATTATGAACATTGTAGGAATTTTTTTCTTATACTAGTCTCAGTCTCAGCAAAATACTATTTTCAGCAATACTATTATCTTATACTATTTCTCAGCAGTTCTTATACTATTATCAGTCTTTCCTTACTGTTCTCAGCAAAATACATACCTAAATGAAATAAAATATTCAAAACCTTTATGATACACTTTTAGTTACATAAACTAAGAAGTAAAAGCGAACTATCACAATGATCTCGGTTATATATGACTGAAATAAATTCTTTGGAATTCTGTGACAACACTGTATTTGGGCATTAATATAATTTTGAGAAACAATTAACAGTGACTCACATCGGACACTTTATAAGGTATGTAACGATATGTAATGGTGTAGCGGTTAGCACACTCGGCGCGTTTTCGAGATGCCCAAGTTCGAGTCCTGGCGACGACGTACGTCTTTTGCTTTAAAATAACCTAATCACTCTACAGTGGCGCTCGAACTAAAAGGTTGTTGATGATGATTCTTCCCCGCCATGATTTGGCGAGTATGTGCCCTAATCCCCAATCGCCTTTTAAAAGGGGCAAAATTCCAGAAACATCTGATTTTTAAGATTTCAGAATTTTTTAAAAATAATATAAAACTTATTAAACTTCTTTTAATAAGCTATATAAGAAAAGGAGGAATGCAAGCTTGTAGAAAAATACAGCAAAATAACTTGCAATTTGAAAACTTCAGATTACAGTTTAACATTTCCTCGAAGTTAACCACTAAATATTTTTTAAACTGTTAAAACAGTTAAACATTTTAAAATTACATTTTTTTCATATCTGCTGTAGTTAATTCATAAAGGTAAAGAAGTATATAAGGTATTTTCTCCTTCCTTTCAGCATGCCTTAATGGTGTAACGTTTAGCATACTCGACGCGTATTCGAGAAGTCCAGGTCCAAGTCACGACGGTATTGCTAATTTTTCATGCCTTCTGCTTCAAAATAACCTAATGACTTTACAACTTAAATTTTTGAAATTTATTTGCGCACATTCTTGTACTAAATATTGAAACACAGACGCCAGATTGCTTTTTATTTTATTATGTTTTCCTTATTTTAAGTCTCACTTGTTGTAAAATAAATGTCATCAAATATATTCTTAGTAATATAATAATTTCTTCAGAAAGTGTTAACCAGTTAACTGTTGCGCTTTCGTTTAAAAGTGCGCACCGTTTTGTGTCGCCAGAATCGAGCCATGACGAGTATATTCATCCATCACAGACTAAGTTGCGCTGGTAAGATATTGGATGAAAAGAATGGGTTTATTTTATAAAATTGAAAATTTTATGACTAATATTGACTTATTTGGTTAACATAAGCATATATTACATACATATTAAACTGAAAACGCAATCAATTAAACTAAGTATTATACATATAAAAGTAAGAATTTAAATTCCTGCTGTGGAGCGATATTCAGCGAAACGCGGTACTATACGCAATGGGACTTTTCAAATCGAACAACCAGTAACGCAATTCCTTCCTGATCTTACGTTTGTACCAATGCGAACACCTTTCGCGCATAGGTTGTTTTTTTTTTTTTTTTTTCGATGTTCCGGGTATATAATCCGGAACATGATTCCCGCCTAATTGGCTTATATTAGGTCTAAATGGCCGAAGTTTGTGTCGATTTAATATTTCTTTTCTTTCAACTGGATACGTCGCAAAAGTGTCTTCAATAAATTTGAGTCAAAAACTTGATACGCGATAAATGTTCCATTATTTTTTTTATATAATATGAATGCATTCAGACACATAATGTCCAAGAAATGGAGAACTATCTTTTTGTAGCACTTTTTGAGTCGTTTTCTTGCTGTGGAGTACGCTATGATAATTCTATCACTCATATCCACTCCACCCATTTTTTTATTATAATCAGTCACTAGCTCCGGTTTCTATGTTATTATTTTTATTTTCTCCGTTTCCATTACGTTGTCATTATGTTCAGTACTTACTAAATAAACCTCCCTCTTATCTTTCCATTTCATTAACATAATATACGCATGACCAGTATGCTCATTAATATAGAAAATCGTGTTGCTTCTCCATAACGAGTATACTATGTTCTCTGAATTTAAATCCCATGGAACATGTAAGGAGTGAGTTGGAGAAAAGCGTAAAGAAACATGCTACTTCTTTGAAATTTCTACTTAAAGCAATTCTTACCTGAGACCTGATTCTTACCTAAGCAAGTCTTACCTTATTTTTATACGAAAACATTTGTTTAATTCATGCTAAAGCACATGACAAGTGTAATTAAAAGATGTGCAACGAAATACTGAATGTCTTATTGTCTATTCTTATTAAATATAAACTATTTATTCAAAGTATGCCCGAACACATATGAGAGATCATTTTCAGGCCTTTTTTTACCAAAAACATACTGAATAAGCTTTTCCAAAATAAGCAAGTTTTAACGAAGATGACTGGTAATATACGTGAAAGGAAAATTGTCAGTTTTGTAGTCATTAGTTTTTTTTTTTCGGGGGAGGGAAGGGAGTCTTCAAAAATAATCAATTTCCTCGGCAGGACTCAAACTGGATCTCTCGAATAATCGCCGGGTGTGTTATCCGTCCACGAAGGCATGCAGAACGGAGAGAGAAAATACCTTATATACTCCCCGTTTTAAAGGTCACAGGGCGTTAGAGGACACAATCGCCAAATCCTGGTGATAAACAATAACCATGCACCGTCTTTTGGTTAGGGTGCCACTGTAGAGCCGTTAGAATGTTTTTATACGGAAGATATGAAAAATGAGCAATGCTCTCGCCGGACTCGAACCTGGAACTCTCGAATACGCGCCGAGTGTACTGTAAACGTTACACTACGAAGGCATGCTTGAAGGATGGAGATTATTTGTTAATAATTATTTGTTATTAATTATTTGTTAATTATTATTTTTTATTTATTATTTGTTAATAATATTTAATAGTTGATATTTGCAAATAAAACTGAAAAACACAAATGTCCAAAAACAAATGTAAGCCGTTGAATGTTGTGTTAATTTATAAATTTAATGCTTTCACTTACGTCCAAGAATGATTTTGATACCTATGAAAAATGAGAGTGACAGTACAAAACTGGCATGATGCGCACCCTTCTCGTTTCGTTAATTTTACCTTGTAAGATTTATCCTAAGTTTTTAACAGTTAATTTTTAGTTAAAGCCACTTTGCTATCTTTCTTAATTTCAGCTTACAATTTCCTGCCAAAACGTGTTTTTCAGAATCACGGTTAAATGCAAATGAAGGAAGAGCAAGTATTTAAAGTTGAAGTTCTACTGACTTCGCTAGAGAGCCAGAGAATTTGACCAACGCGCGTTCTCCTTTTAAGCTACACTCTCTCTAAGCTATTTCTACGCTCGGCCGTACTTCAGGCTCTTTATAGCTTCGCTGTTTAGTTAGCGTTAGGGAGACAACTCCTGTAGAATTTTGATAGCTTCAGCTAATCTTTTTAGTTAAGTTTTATTTTTTATCTTTTTTGAGTTGAAGCCCAATTAGAGGCTTTTCTGTACGTCCTGAAAGAGGACCGTCTGTTAACTTTATGAGCAAATAAAGGGTAATTAACTCTTCTTGAGTATCTATTCTATGTCTACTGAACTAAAACGATTATTCGCTTACCAGTTCCCAAGGTTCCACACATTTGGCTGTAAATTATAGGATGGAACATTCAATCTCTTGAGAGGTGAACACTGCGCGATGTACCACGTGACCCAAAAGTCCGTTAACATTTGAAAATTCAATAATTCACTGAATAATGTAGATAGAGAGGTAAAAACTGACACTTATGCTTGAAATATCATTCGGGGTTTACCGAAAGCAAACAAAAAGTGTTTAAAATGGCCAACAGATGGCGATTCACATGATGATAAAAGCAATAATTAGTATAACGATTCATTTTTAGCAAATACAATGTTCTTTATAAACAAATGTTCAGCATGTCGGCCGAATATTATTCATTTTCAACATTCAATATGTAATATTAAATTTTTATGGGGTAACTAAATGTCAGGACGCTTCTTAAGCCACCCTGTGTGTGCAAATATTTCATCCCCCACAGAAGACATACAGAAAAGAAAATAAGAACAAGCATTTCAGCCAAATATCTAAAATATGCTCTTTACAAGTCATTATGTAACGATGTCTATCAAATTAGATATAGATGTATATGTATTCAAAAAACAGGTTTCTTGTTCATAATATTTTTTATAAATATCTTTCAGATGAAAATATAAATTTAATTTTTATTAGAATTCGTAATATATATTTCAGTGTAATAGTTAAATATATTTAATTTGTAGGGTCCACTTGCCTAACTTCTAAGAGAGAATCGTGCGTGTAGTAAGTTCTAGTAGGAACTACACAGAAGAAGGGTTAAAAGTTTCCTTTATTAAATTCTTTAAAATTTGCAATGCGTCAACTCGACGCTAACACACTACGCTTCCCTTGGGAGTTCACTGAAATCACAGAACTAAAATAAAAATTCGAAATAATGCACAAGTAGTACAACTAAAGTACAGGGCTCAGATATTCCTGTTACTTATAACCGCGTCAAAACGAGTGGCAACAAAGGAAATGCTGTTATGCCATAGAAACAAGCAATAACTGCGGGAGTACGCTCATGTAACAGAAGTGACTGCAATAGCCTAACTCTCTCTAACTTTGCTTCTAAAACTCATTATTTAAACTCTTTCTCCACAAGGTAGAATTTGCATTCCTTCACGCGCTCTACCAAATTTAAATATTACAATTAGTTCCAAACATTGACAATTAGGGGAACGAAGGGGTATAGTAAATGTGAATTAAATAATATTGGTTATTTAAAATAAATATAAATCCTTACAAATTCTTAATCCTTAAATACACGTAATTGCCATTTGGCAACATACTCATATTTAGTCACGTAAATCAAATCAAAACACAAATTTTAACTTACTGCATAGTATAACCAATTGGATACGCACTGTTTACCGTATTAAATTTTGAAAGTTTCAGTGTGGTGGCAGCACAAATATTGTAACGGTCGTTTTTGTGAGTTGATGTGTACAGTGTGGACATCATTTGTGTTTACGTAATTTTGATTTTGTGTTTGTTGTTATTTTGATGTGTCTTAAAATTGTTTAAACAAGTTTATAAGATATGTATTACTACATAAAATTGTTGTTACACAATAGCCTATCATATTTATTTTATTTATTCATTTACTTATTTTTTGTAAAAGTTAATGTTTTCAAAATTTGAAATAGAAACTTAGTTTAGATTTTTTTTTAGTATTTCTCTTATTTTATTCGATATCAATTCTAATGTGTTTTTGACTTGAAAAATAACAATTCATGGATTTAAGGGTTAAGTGGGCGTAGATTATTTTTATAAACAATATGATAATTTTATCTGTCCTAGACTTCTTTAATCACCCACCTTTACTGCAAGATATGGTCCAAGAAGTTCTGGAACATTGGACACACTTGTAATAAAGTAACAAAAGCAAAGAATGTAATGTAGCTCAAATGTAACATCTTGAAACAATGACTGTAATTGTTTGGTTGTAACACTTCCGTGAATGAAACTGAATTGTGTCATATGTTGTTCTACTTTAAAGTACAGTTTTATTTTAAATGGTCACAATTAGTTAATGTTTGGTTTTAAAAATCACAATTTCCATTTCTAGACTTCATGAAAAAGCGAACTTGCGATTCCGACGTAGTTATGAATCCAGGCTTCGGCGAAAGCGTCGAAACGGCAGAAGGAGTGCAACGAGAGTTTGACAAAGATTTCGGAGTCAGCATGCAGTATAAAGTACATAAGTTGCTTCTTTAAAAAAAATAACTAACAAAAAATCAGAAAGCTTTCAGATTTTATATTGGGCCCAAAGGGGCTGTTTTTAACGTTTTGTGTGTTACCTTTATTTATTAACTATCATGTTCTTCACACTTAAACGATAAAATTCAATTCAACAGCTATATAGCAAAATATTTAAAAGAGCATATCTTTAAAATTTCCGAAATACAGTCTCGCGTGCTGGAGACAAATTTTTTTTTTTTCCATGCAGTGTTGCCATTTCTCGCATTGAAATCGCTGAGTTTCTTAATCAGAAACACGTAAATGTTTTTATGAATATAAAATAGATGATGAAAGAAATTCCATATTCTAAATTTGGGCTTCCAGACGCCCATATTCGGGTGGAGACGTACGTTATTCAAAATTGGGTGGTTTCAGGTTCATTTGTTTCATCACAATGCGAGAAGCATGCATACATTTATGCAGATTCTGCATTATTTAATTTCTTTAAATATAATACAGGGCTCTAATATTTGGTGTCAAAAATTGAAAACGCGATTCTCCGTTTACAGTGAATCAACGCAAAATTACGAACTAAATTAATAGCCCGAAATGAAATTAATAGCACTTCTGGGCAAATTGTCCTTTTGGGCTAAAAAACGAAATGCTTTGACTTCAAAATGTGACAACGCAGTAGTTTACTTACTTATATTTCGGTTAAAATATTATATTAGTTGTATATTAATTAATCTCGTTTTCCCGTTGGAATTAATTTGAATTTGAAAAGACATTGGTGAGAATTCCTTGTGGGATCATACTTCTTTTGGTAATAAATTCTTAGTAAGTATCGTGACGATAGTTACTATTGACTAAGTAAAATCGTGACTCACGGGATCCTAGTAAGGAAAATCTAGACTTTTCTCACAGGCGTAAAGAATACCAGCACAGAAGAAGGGTAAAAATAAAACTTTATTATTCGCCAAACTCTGAACTGAAAAGGCACATTCTTCTTGCTTACAATAACACCGACGACTTGCGGTGGAACGTAAGAATCGTTACACAATAAATTCAAAAGATAAAGAGTGGTACTAGACTAACAATTTAATATAAGGTTAACTACACTGGTGTGCAAAAATTAAGGACGAGACGTTTTTCAATATAACTTTGTACAAAAGCTTTCCAAATCAACACATTTAATACCGTAAGATCCCCAATACGTAAGGACATGAGTAATGTACGCAACACTTACTAAAAGAGAAATCAGAGGGATAAAAAGAAGCTTTATTGAAAACGTAGCATGGAGCGCAATGCGACTGAAGGCCGAAACATCCCTGTGATGGGTGTCCAGCAAGAAACATCCGGTCTTTAATAGGGAATATGATCTCCCCTAACTGCTAGGCAGGTTTCACAGCGTCTGCCCATGCTGAGAATGAGGGTGTCAATGAGTTGTTGAGGCATTGCTGCCCATTCGTCTTGCAGCGCCAATCGAAGCTCCGGAATCGTTACTGGTGGTAAGGTACGAGCTGCCAAGCGTCTGCCTAGAAAATCCCATACATGCTCGATGGGATTGAGACCCGGAGATCGTGCCGGCCAATCCATACGTTCATTATCCTCACTCTCTAAGAGCTGTTCGGCAGCTACTGTGCGATGACATGGTGCATTGTCGTCCATGAAAAGGAACTGCGGACCCATAGCGCCTCTAAAAAGACGCACATATGGAAGAAGAATCTCGTTACAATAACGGGTCCCGTAACTGAACCTGCGTCGAAGATGTGAAGGTCTGTACGACTACCAAGCATGATGCCTCTCCGAACGAGAACACCGCCACCTCCATACCTGTCCCTTTCAATGATGTTCGAGGGATGATTGCGGCTTCCCCGCTCTCTCCAGATGAGTATGCGATGAGAATCGCTACTCAGACTGAATCTGCTCTCATCTGTAAAGAGTACTCGTCCCCATTCATTGTCTCTCCAATTCCGGTGTTCCCGGCACCACAGAGAACGCCTTCTCCGATGGGCAGGCGTTAGAGGTACACACCGTACAGGGCGTCGTGCCAACAGACCACCACCGTGCAGTCTTCTGGCCACGGTAAAACGCGATATCGGTCGTCCAGTCGCCTGTGTCGTGTGTCTAGCGATTTCTCCCGCTGTCTGCCGCCTGTTTCTTCTGGCCTGTAAGGCAATATACCGGTCATCTGCGGGTGTGGTTCCTCGTGGACGACCACTACTAAACCCCCGGATAGCTGTTCCTGTAGTTTGAAATTGTCTCCAAAGTCGTGAAACGATGCTATGAGCAATTCCGAACTCTGCAGCCACACTTGTCACACTGCAGCCTTCCTCCAACTTCCCAATGATTCGACCTCGGGTAAAAGCATCCAGATGTCGTCTAACAGATTGATTATTCGCCATTTCTCGCTGAGGCAGCAACTCGGTGTGATTAACTGCTATACGGCGTGCAATCTCTTTGCCAGAAATACTGATCTTACACCTACAACATGCTTTATACTACTCAGACACTCCCCCTATAAAATAAGTAAAGCCCTAAATCCTTATCTGTCGTTTTCAGAGACAAAAGTTAATCACGATGTAGAAAAAGTATTATAGATTTGAAGGAATATATTTACTATATTTAAAAATTTTAAGCTACAAATTATTAAACGAAAGTAATGATTTTAAAAACTGAATATTACAGATATAAACTACGTATTTTCATTATCTCGTTTCACATTAAAAACTGCAGCTTCAAGGCCCAAGCAAAAATGGATCGCATCCAAGAAATGCAATCATATTTTCAATATAAAAGCCTTTAATACCGAAACGATTTAAAACAGATATAAATTTATTTATTAAATATGAATTAGCTGTATGGGAGCAGTGACAGAGATGTAAACGGAATTTATCCGTTGGGAAAATGCTATTGGAATTTCAACAAGATCGGTAATAAATTAATAATTAAAAAGTTATATGTGGTATGAAAAATAATAAAAACATTTAAATATAAATAGATAGATCATTACATAAGAATTGAATGCTCAGAAGAACGCTTAAGGCCTATAAGCTTTCGAAAAATGAATTATTTTATAGGCTGATTTTTAAAGGGCACGTGAAATTAACAATATTACAGAATACATCCGTCTTACAGAATACATCCGTCTGCAGGAAAAATAATCAAAATAATCATTTGATTATTTTTCCTGCAGACGGATATATTCTGTAAGGAAAACCCTTTTGCAGGCATGTTTTCTACTACAAACAAGATCCGTGAACAACAATTTTTAAAACTCTTAAGGATTTCTTCCTCATATATTTCATTTCTGTTGTTTCTTTTAAAATTTTTGGTTTTTCAAAAAGTTCATATTATGTGGATCCTAAATGCAGAATCACACTTTCGAAACCTTTAGGCTTAACATTTTTGATATAAAAAATTAAGTTAAAGATTTTGCATTTAGAATTAAAAAGTACAAATATTTCATAAGAATGACAGAAGTTTCAGTCATTCAAAATATACAAGAGAAAATATAAACCAATTTTTTTCTCAAAACTTTTGAACATTTTGTCTCTTTCAGCACTATTTTTTAAAAAGGCTGTGGAGATTCATTTAATATACCCAACAGTTTTGCCGCGATACCCTCAAAGCATTCAATAAAAATTCTCTTAAAAAATTTTAATTTTTTACTTCCTTGTACGAAGTAAATGAAGTATTGTAATCGCAAAAATTTTCGGGTATCATATCTCAGCGAAAATATCCATTTTCACCCCTATCGAATGCAATTTAACAATGGCTTTGCGTGACATTTGTACGTAAGCACATAATAAAGGGCTCTTTTACCCAAGACGGCTTGCAAAGAGGGTTTAAATGGATTCATAAGAGAGTCTTCCGTTACGTCTGTACGTATGTATATATGTATCTCGCATAACTCAAATCGAATAGCCTCAGTACGCTGAAATTTTGGATATAGGACTGCTATAACATGTAGTTGTGCTCCTCCCTTTTTGGTTGCAATTGGCCTTACCAAAAGTATATAAATATATATACATATAACTCACTCTGATGCTCGTCTTCGTGAGCACGATTTTTTTTTATTCTTATAGTTTGGTAAATTGAGCATTTTTCGCTTTACAAAAGTGTATAAATATATGTATATATATCCACTCTGTTACTCGGCTCAATGATCTCAGTTTCTTTTTATTCTTATATGTTTGCAAATTGTGGAACATTTTGCTTGAGTGTGAAAGTGATTGAATCATGTTGTTCTTATTTTTCGATTAAGGTTTTTATGCCTTTAGTTCATCTGCATGCAATAGTTTTAGAATTATCAACAGTTTCTGCTCTACTCCCCGAATTGCTTGTTTTTGCGTGGAAACCCTAATTTTAATTGTAAAAATAGTTTTTTTTAATTGTATTTGGTGTTTTATATTTCTCTATATTTTTCAAGTTTTAATAATGATATTTTGAGGTTATATGTATTTTTGCCTTGTCATGAAGTGAGAACTGAATTGAATGACAAATATATCTCTAATGAAATTTGAGGTGGTGTTTGGTGTATTGAGAATACGGCAAAGCACACTAGGGCTATCTGCCTAAGGGGAGGGATGCCTTCGTGGAGGACTTTCTAAGGAAACTGGCTCGAATACACGTGACACATGGGGAAAACCACGAAAACGCCCGTTAGCGGAATTCGAACCTCGGACCGAACTACCAGTGTTCAGCAATGTTACCGTTCGGCCGCTGGTAGGCCCCCCCACAATGAAATTTAAGGAAAATGGTTTTAATGAAATTCAGGAAAAATACGTAAAATTTAATATTCTGTAAAAGGAAGTCACATGGTGTACATGTCAGCTTTTTTTAAAGATGCATTGAAAAAAAACCCGTTTATGGCTCATTTTAATCAATACTCTTCATGGGCGTTAAATGGAATATGATCTGAGGCTAAAGTTATCGAAATAAGGCTTAATTTTAATCCAAACAAGACTATTTAAAAAATTGCGAAAATTGTACCTCAGATTTATATCTAGAATACTTTGTTTTCCAACGGTGTCTTTCTTTATGCAACTCATCTTAGAATTTTAGATGAACAGACTTAATGCAACTAAACTTGCAAGCTTATATGCCTTCACAGCCCCCTCTATTAACGCGTACATGTTTTAGGAGACTGGATATCAAAAATCAATTTCACATTATGCATGCTGTTAAAAAGGAACACGTGTTACAAAAACTTGCAGATGTTCCTTCTCATTCATACATTATCAGCTCTATAGTCTATATGCCATGTAATAGAATGTCGGGAATCTAAACTATTAAACTCTGTGCCCATCTGTCTGGCTGTTTGTGGCGTTATCTCCTTCGGAACGGAGAGGAGTTGAGCTTCGAGAGAAATACACCCCCCCCCCTGGATTCCAAAAATTCGTGGGAAGCCATTTCGTACATTTTCATATTCATGCGACTTTAATTAGCCAAGATATTAATTAAAAACTTTGAAACGCTAATTTTCGCCCTCATGTTTTGGAGCACGCCGGAGATAAAAATCTGCTATATTTCAAAATGTATTGCCACTTCTCGCTTTCAAATCGTAAAGTTTGTTTATAAAAAATCTTTTTCAAAATAGGAAATAAAAATAGCATTGGCAAACTTTAAACATATTATTATTATATCAGGCCATATTCTAAAGCTGAAGAAAGCACGCGATTGCATGTGACGTCACTGTATGACGAAAATGTTTTTTATAATGACGTCATACGTATAACCTGAAGTGTCAAAAGTTTTTGTTTCCGGATTTGGCAAAAGAAGTTATTTACGAATCGTTTGTTCCTGGGAAAGAATGAGCTGGTTTCATTCATACTGAAATGTTTTTATACGTTTGCTTTTCAGAGGTACATAGAAATTATAATTAAGCCCGCTCATTTAGTGGTCTTGGCCGCTGGTAGCTATAACGATATGAGAAGATAGAATCTGCTATAGGTTATCTTAAGAGACGGTTTTATCAGCACATCTTTGTGTTTCATTTGATATTCATATAAAAACATGAATTACCATTGCACAGCATTGGAAAATACAAAGAATTTTGTGACAGGTTCATTTTCTGCAAATTTTGATTCCACCTACCCATTTTTTAAACTGTGTTTTTTAATTCTTTTAAAATAACTTACAGCAGCATTTATGAGAGCATTTCATTTGTTAGATAGATATTCCACCTGAATCGGTGAATCAAATCACGGCGGAAGATATGAGCGGAGCGGCTGAATACCAGTTCGAGAAACGGAGGAAAGCTTTTCAAGTCTTCATGAATATCATCAACCGGATTTTAGCTTTTATGTTTCTCTTAGTTTTCCACGTGTAAGTGTTTTATTTTTAAATAGTAACTGGAAAGTAATCGTCAGTATCAAACTAACAAAAATGAAATCTGAACACAAGATTGCGTTTATATTTTAAAATCATATAAATATTGTTCGGAAAACAAAGAGTATGTTGAACTTAGGTAAAATTCTAATATGTTTCTTTTAATATCTGCCTCACACTTAGGGGCGGATTTAGACTTAATAAGGCCCTAAGATATCAATATGTGGAGTTCCTTATAAGTCTGTTATACTATACTAAAACGCCCGGCGGTCATGCGAAATGACCGCTGTTCTAGATATTATAAATTGTAATTAAAATGATTTGTGCAAAGATGTCTGCTAATTCAAACTGAATTACCCAGGGTAGCCGGCGAGGACGCCTTTTCGCTTATTACCTCACGGGGTTCCCCCCTTTCTACTTGCTTAATTGCTTAAAGTAGAGTGCAATGAAGGAAACCACTGGCGGTACATTTGTTAAGACCCACCGCTAGCTCAATAAATAAAGGTGATTTAAATCATAAAATGTTAATTCACATGTTAAAGATCTCTTTAAACAGTACATTTCTTGTGTAGATCTTCCCATCATTTTTAAGCTGGCCTTCCAGAGCACCATCAATTATTTTTAATTTTATGTCCGTTCTTTTACGAACTCTTCAACAGGCAACATAAAGTTGACCGTGTCCAAATGCACGCTCAGGTAAAAAAAATGCCAATACGCTTAAGCGTTTGGCCCTGAGACTTATTGATGGTCCCTAGGAAAGACAAGTTTTACAGGAAATTGTCTAAGTCTCATTTGAAAGGGTTGACCCTTAAGCCGCATATATATATATATATATATATAGGGTGAAGTAACATCATCTCTTCCGAAACGGCTGGCTCCCGGGCTTAGCGAAGCACAGCGTTGGATTCCGCAGGTCCGTGGCACGCCATTTTGACCATTTGCGTCTTCGTGGGACTTTAATTAGCCCAGATATTAATTAAAACTAATTTTCCCCTACATTTTCACCTTTTGTTGAGTTTTGCCTATTAGAGGGATTTGGCTACGTGCCAAATTCTTTTTTTTCTCGAATATCTACGGAACGGCGCCGAGTCGATATTCGAGACGCGTATCCTCGGATTCCAAAAAATTCTCCCTAATAAATCGATACCGTTCTCATCTTCGTATGACTTTAATCGGCCGAGATATTAATTAAAAATTGCGGAAACGTTGATTTTCGCCCTCATTTTTCCGAGTGGCTACAATAAACTATCGGCGACACACACTTTAGCCGCTTATATTTATAACAAAGATTTTAATACTTTTGATGGGGACCTCCAAGAAAGTGGACGCTCTAAGCTATAGCTTGTATAGCTTACGTAAATCCTGCACTGCTCCCAATTGACATTTTCCTTAGAAAGTCCTCTGCGAGTTCATTCTTGCCCATTATTTTAAATCATTAGCTACTTTTTAGTCAAAAGTCACATTTCACCCTCCCAAAAGTGAATTATTTGTAAAATTTATACATTATATTTTTTAAATTGCTAATGAAATCCACCGCAAATGTGTTTCCTCTTCAAAAGGTATTTCATAAGTATTTTGACATAATAATTCAATATTAAAAGTTATCCTTCATTTTAATAACTCTTTGTGTGCATAGAATATTGAATAATGGTCTTAAATTCGCTAACAATAGCTTTGCATTTAAATCGTATTTCGCCTTAAAATACTTAATTGCAAATGTTTTTTTTTTTTACTGAAAACGAACTTGACTTTACAACTAATTATTAAATTAGGTCTCGCAAATACTGCGATCACTACCTGAGAGTTATTCAATTCGATAACAAATACGTGACATCATATTTTCGGCACATAGATGCAAGAAGGCATAAAGTGGTGAGTAAACTTACTTCATTTATTCGACTTTTTTTAAATGGGAATTGCATTTATCTCATCCCACCGAATCATTTCAGGGCAAATTGACACTTTTACCATTAAAGAAAGGCGAGAAGTTAGAACTGTTCAATCCCTTCACAGTAAAATACTCTGCGGAGGAGAAAGGATTTTTTGTAAGTAATGCATACTCGCAATTCGTGCTTTTCACTATTTTAAGCGATCATGATATGAGAACAATTTACGTGTAATATTAATCGTCAAGCCAAAACAACAAAACAAGGACTGAACCATTTGATGATGAGCTTGTAGATGACCAAATATTTATATTTTATTTGCTGTTCAAAATAAAAGGAAGAACTCGGATAAACCATTAGAAAACAGAAAATTTTAATATTTGTAATACCTCCTACTTTTTCTACCTCTTCTTTACCCTCCCTACTTTTTCTATGATAAAATGTAGAGGAATCTATTGAACGAAATAGCGACTTATTACTGAGTTCAAGTACTTACTATGTTGACAAATACCCTTTTATTCACTCACAGAAATAATAACAGATGGCCTAGTCTCGGGCTTACAGGAAAGCCTCCATTCAGGCTTTTAAATCAGGATAAGAAAATACAAAACTAATCTAATACTAAGTAAAATAGACTTAGCCGAAAAGAAACACAAACACTAGTTGTCCCTTAAAATAGGCACGTAAAATACGGCCGAGCGTAATAAAGTAACTAGAAAGCAACACGAGCCTCTAAGAGAGTGCTTAGGAGTCCTTATTGACTCCTAAGCACTCTCTTTCGAAGTAAGTTGAACTTCCTTTAAGCTCTCCTTCTAACTGATTTGCATTCAGCACGATTCTGAAAACTCATTCTTGTATGGAGTTGTAAGTGGGAAACATGAATTGAAAAGGAAAGAGTTTCAAAATAACTGTTATAAAATTAACGTACACCTTACAACTGAACAATTTGAAGATGAGCTTGTAGATTAAGAAATATTTACATTTTATTTTCTCTTTAAAATAATAATTTTTTCTCTTTAAAATAAAATAATGAACTCGGAGAAAACTAGCAAACTGAAAATTTTACTTATTTATGATTTATTCATTCATTTATCAAACAGAACCTGTTTTCATTTTCTAATAGATAAAGTATTTTTCTATTTCGACATGTACCTAGATTTAAATATCGTAATTTACATGCGATTCTCATTCATTCTTTATCTTACTAAGTATTGTAAAATTTTGAAAAGTCTCTTTGGAAACATACAATCTAGTCTTTGGAAGGACTACAGAAGAATTAGCTTCTAGCCTTGTGAAACAAAACAGAAATCATAAGAAGGACGCATAAAACCCTTTTATTGAAACATAAAATTTAACAAATGAAACTTGGGTTATAAGAAGTCAAGCACTTTTGACTTAAAAAAATAATTTAAAAACTAATAATTTCAATTATGGTAGATTAGTCTAACGGTTCACAAAATACTTTAACGCGCAAGAAAAGCTCTGGTTTGTAGTAAACCGACGAGACAGGGCCTAATGGTCAGAACACTGAACGCGGCTGACGCAAGTCGCTAATAATCACAGCACAACATGGCATGGAATAGGCAGGCACGCTCTAAAATTAACTTCCGAAACTCTTGCTTAAATTGCAGTTCTTTCTACCTTAATCTGAATAAACTCTTCGCTATCTCGTTTACATTTTGGCATGAAAAACATGGGTGAAAAGAGAGTAATAGGAAATTACTTAAAATGAACTATTAGTTAAAAATAAATAGATAAACCTCAAGTTTAATACTTCTAAAAATTTTAGATTTAGCTATTCGAAACAAAAATTAAATTTCAGTTAAGTGCGATAATATCTTTTTAGAATATTTTGTAAATTAAAAAAAGAATACTTATGGCAAACTAAATCGTTCAATAAAATGTTCTGTAAGACTGTACATAATGCACTATTTCTATAGAGTTTGAAATTTTTTTTAAACATCTGTGTTCTTTCACAATGAAGTATCTGATCAATCTACTACATCATAATTAAGTCCTTCTCAAACATCTGTAGCTAAATATATAAAATCAATTAAAGTACTTTCTTTTGAAACCCTTTTACTGTTTTATGTTTCAATTTAATACCATTATATAGTTTAATTATGTAATCATGGTATCATCACAAACCATTTTAAAACAGTTTATCAGTCAAAAATTTTAAAAATGTGTAAAATTATAGCTTCATAACTACAATTTAAATGAAATTAACTTGTTACGGTATAATAAATCCCTCGAAATTTTGAATTTATTTAAAAATACATGTTTTTATTTGTAAAAAAATTCTTTTCAAAATTCCTTTCAAATGTTATCGCTTAAATACAAATTGTTGTTTGATAAATATTTAATAAGGATTTAATTGCAGATCCTGAGCACAGTGAGGCTTTTAGGAGAGTTAATGACAATATCTGTTATTTTATTATTTGACTGGACTTTTTATGAATTTTTAATGCTCATTCAACGACATGCGCATGTGTCTTACAAGCAAACAGGTGACAATTTACTATCTTTTGTGGTTAATTTAGAAATTTAGTTCTTAAACGTAAATGTCAATCAAACTCAGTCTCCAGCAAACAAATTCTTTATTATAACGCATGATGAATTTTGTGACATTTTAAGCAAACTGCAAAATTATTACTGAAATTGATTTAACCATACTTTTGTTTCATTAAAATTCATTGTAGCTTTCAGGCTAGCTAACTATTCTTGTAACTAATATTGTAGTTAACTATTCTTGTATCTATGTTATTATTATTCTTGTATCTAAATAAATCGTGGACTGTAATTATTATGTACTTAAATATTTAGAGGTTCCCGGAACCTATGAGGAACCTTTCCTCCTCAAAACTAGATTAACTCGGTAACAAGTAATCAAATCAGAACATTTCTAGAAATTTCCCTTCGTTATTCTACGGATAAAGAACAAACAGAGTAAAGCTTTCTGTTGTTAAAAAATTGTTGAAATTGGTTCTGGTGTTATACTTTATCTGTAACCATGCTCTGAGTTGGATTGTTTGCTGTTGAGTTAAACTAGTTTTTCGGGGAAGTACAGTCTTCCAAATCTTTAAATATAATAAATAAAAAACTTTTATGCGGATAATAAGCTAATTTCAAAATAAAACGCATTTTGAGAAATAACAACTGAGTTTGAAAATTAATTTTTCAGTTAAAGCAGAGCTTTTTAAACTTTTTTCAATCGCGACCCTATTTTATCACTGAGAATTTTTTCTCGACCCCGTATATTAAGCATAAAATGAGGACGCAAATAAATATGTTCCCGTAAATAATTTACTTCTTTGGTAAACAATAAACATATAAAAAGTAGTAGTTTTAGGATTTATTTTAAGCAATCAAAAATTAAGGAAAATTCTAATAAGACAGATGTGTTCGTTTTCTGCTGCATAACAAATTAATGTTGGTGTTTTATTTGACACTGCTGGACATAAAGCATCTACAGCATGTTTCAGTGTTGAACGACATTTGGTTTTAATTAGCTTTAAAGCTGAAAAAGTAGTTTCATAAAAATATGCGGTGCTGAATGAGAGAGGAACATTTAATGCCATTTCAGAAATGGTGAGAAATCTAGTTCTACCTCCGATCCAGAACTCATCAAATATTTTTGCAAAAAAACTCAAGTTTAAATTTCTAAATAGCTTTACAAATTTCTTTTGCACTTTACATAGCAAGTAATTAATCGCATTAATATCAATTAATGTAATGTCTAATCTCATTAGTGTAATTTCCTTAAAAGTCCTATGAATACAGTTTCTTTAAATTCAACTATCGAACTGAATTTTCGCGACCCCAAAATTTCGATTTTCGACCCCATTTTCGGTTGCGACCCATAGTTTAAGGAACTCTCAGTTAAAGCATAACAGAAAGCAAAGACTCACGTCTGCAATAGATTAGTTCAATCGGCTTGTCCCTTCTGATGATATCAGCAGGTTCAACAAACAGAAAATCTTAGATTGAAAATCATAAAAACTCTAGGATGACCAGCTGGGCAATAAGCTAAGAAGTGTCTAGCTACAGTCGAATACTGTCAACTACAGTCGAATACTGGAATGCCCCTAGAAACCGGAAGGAAGAAGTCCTACTTACCCGACTTAGAATTGGTCACTCCAGAGTCATTCGCGGTTTTCTTCTGAAATGAGAGAATGAACCAGTTTGTTCCGAATATAGCCCGTTTTTAGAGTTTTTAATGAATATCTCGGCTAATTAAAGTGGTACGAAGATAAAAATGGTCGAAATGACTTCCACGAATTTTTGGAATCCTCTCTCAAAACTCAATTCCCGCCGTTCCGGAAGAGATAATCCCACAAACAAACAGACAGACAAAGGCGCACAGATTTTAATAGTATAGATTATTTCACAACACAAGCGGTCTGGAGAGTAATTAAAATTATGGCCACAAATATTAAAACCTGGCAGCAATATTCCCAGTCCCTCTCTCTAAGTTTCAGCCTTTTTCAATGACTAAACTGCCTCATTATCCCTTTGGTTGTACCAAGTTATTTCGTTCCACTTCGCCTTCTCGTAATGGTCAAAGATCATTTTTTGTATTAAAAATATATTTACTAAAATTTAGACAAACACAAGCAAATCTGAAAAGCAAGTACTACTACCATTTACAACGATGCTACATTTATAAATCATTAGACATGATTTTTATAAATGTATTAAAAACTGTAGTTCTATCCTCTTTATATGATTTTAAACTTTGCTGTCTAATAACTATTTATATTAAAATAATAACGCAACTTTTGTTTTCACGAAAACTGCTTATCAGTGAACAGATTACGAACTGACAGCAGTTATAACATTTTGATAGGAAAAGTGAGCTTTAGTTTAATAAAATTCCTAGTATATAAAGATAATGAAGTTCTTTGAGTATGTTAATCCTACGTTAAACAAAATAATTCAGGTATGTGTTAGTTTTGAATAAAGAAATTTCTAAACTTCACTATATAGGTTCACTGGTTTAAAATATACGATACAAATATTAGAGTTAGTGCATTTAAAGAACTCTTTTACCGATATTAACGAATTTCAATTCAAATGATTCTGTTGTTGTTACTTTTGCTTATTTGTCTGACAGTAACATCAGCTCAAGCCCACAAAATTCCTCTTGGCAAGGAGTGCAACATTACGCCTGTCGTTGGCAACAGCCTTGAGCAGGTGACAACGCGATTTCGCTCTGTTCACTCCCCATTCTTTTGGAGAGCATCCTGGGGGGGGAAGGGTAAGAGGGTCTCCCACCCCTCTTTTCCTTTCACCAAACCACACAAGAGGGCTTTGCGCTCGCCGCATATATAGAGTGCCGCTAGGCCGCACCGACACTATACATTCACTAACACCTGAGCCTTCTCAGGGATGCGAACCCGGGCCCTTCGGCACGGCAGTCAGCTATGCTAAGCGCTAAACGGTTGGGAAACGTGGATGTTTGTAAATGTATAGTGTCCGTGCGGAAAGGGGGCTCTCTAAATAAGCGGCGAGCCGAACGTCCTCTCGAGAGGTTGGTGGGGAGGAGGAGTGTTAGTAAATGTGGAGAGACATTAGGATTATTTGGAAGCAGGCAAGATGAAAAATGAGCAACGCCTTCGCCGGAAATCGAATCGCAGACCTCTCAATTACGCGCTGAGCGTGCAGACCACTATACCACGAAGGCTGGCTAAGAAGGCGGAAGAAATACCTTATATACTCCCCCCTTTTAAAGGTCGACTGGAGATTTAAGGGGTCCCAATCGCCAAATCCCGTGTGAGGAAAATCATCATCCAACACCCTTTTAGTTCGGGCTCCACTGTAGAGACATTAGGATTATTTGGAAGCAGGAAAGATGTAAAATTAGCAACGCCTTCGCCAGGAACCTGTGAAAAATATTTAATTTTTATTCACTTCTAACAAAATTAATTCGAGAGCGTTCGAAATATCTGAACTTCAGACTGAGCTAAAACACCTGATGTTTCGAATGTTTGAAGATACACATTTCTTCTAGTTTTCATCAATATGAAAATAAAACTTGTATAGGCAATTAGCTTCGATTACAAGAACATAATGTATTAATTTTATGATTTTTCTTTCGCAGGAGTTCATCACATAAAAATGACGGTTTTTGGAGACGGATTTGTAGGAAATATGGTGCGAAGTATTTTAAAGGGTTTTGACAAAAAGCATACTACAGATCAAGTGACAAGTACTGCTGGTATGCGATTTTTTCTAAATGCATCTTGCAGAGTTTGAAGGAAAGCATAAATGAGTTAGTAACCGGATATTTATGCTTAACAATTACCGTGTTATTCGATATCTTATACACTGAAATTAAATTTTTTAGCAATCACACTTTTAACATTAAGTAGTATATGATAATTTTACTCATTAGGGTAGTAGTGGTATAATTTTAATCAGAAACTTGATATATCATTGCACACACTTAAAGCTATAATTCCAGAAAATCATTCGAATACATTTTCACGACAATAGAACTACTTAATTAACTACTACCCAATTCGTAGGAAAATTAATGTGTGAATTTATTGCTTTCACGCAAATTATGCAGTTTTTTTAAACTCGAAAAACATGGAAACACTAAGGTTGGTGTATTTAATTATGGGAAAGCACACGAGAGCTATCTGCCTAAGGGGACGGATGCCTTCGTGGAGGACTTTCTAAGGGAAACTGGCTCGTATACAAGTTACACATGGGGAAAACCACGAAAACACCCATGCAGCCAGCCTGTTCGCGGGATTCGACCTCGGACCGAACTACCAGTGTTCAGCGACTTTACCGCTCGGCTACTGGTGGACTGGAAACACTAAGAAAGTCTTAGTTGTGCATTATCTTTAAGGTTTGGTTTTTGTGATTACGACAAAGCCTCGAGGGCTATCTCCCTATGTGGATGGATGCTTTCTTGGAGGAACTTTCTAAGGGAAACTGGCTCTTAAACACGTTACACTTGGGGAAAACCACGAAAACGCCCATGCAGCCAACCTGTTCGCGGAATTCGAAACTTGGATCGAACCACTGGAATTCAGTGGTCCTTCATTATCTTCAAGACTTTACCAGAAAAGCGGTCAAAACTGGTTATATAATGGGGGATGCAAACGTTCGAGAAACGACGGGGATAATTCAAATATAACAAGACTTAAACAAGTATGAAAAGCTTTAGTGCAACGGAAAATATGATAGAACTGTTGTACAGAATAATTTAGAAACACCAAAGAGTGTAATTTAGAAGTCAAACAACCAAAATCAGCGTTATATTTGCAAATTTTCTAGGATTAGTTTAGATGGTTTGCGAAAGTGCAAATGAACCATTTAAGACTATGTAAGTTATCAGGACTACCTAGATTGCTCTTAATTCACATGTGAAGTTGGAAGCTATGTTGCCTTTGGAGTATAGTTGCCTCATTTGATAGTATAATGGCTCCACCCTGTTGAATAACATCTATAATCTGAACCATCTAATCGAAGAAGAATGTGCAGATTCCAATATGAATTACTTGCAATTTGGCAGCTGAGGAAGCTTCCAAACATAAATATTAAGCACAGAAAGGTCATTCACCTTCTACCTATTATTCAAATACTTCGTTTTTCAATGCAGAGTCTTTTAGCCTTAAAAACATCCCATATTTGGAAAACTGCATCTTTTTAAAGGAGTGCAGAACGTCGTTGAGGGATTTTTCATTATGTACAGTGGCTCAAACGATTGAGAATACACCTTACTTGATAAATCTAACTTTCAATATAAATTACACATTACAAAGAAGCGGAAACATATTTTTTATTTTTAGACGTATCAATCGATTTAATTTAAAGTAAACATAAAGAACAATCCACGAAAAAATACTAAAATAAAAATTTTCAGAATCATTTTAAATAATCATACGCAGATTTTTGCTCCATAAAATGTAGAATACACCAATGAAATTTTTGTGTTATATCACATACAAAAGTGTCAACTTTTTGTTGTATGTCCTTTGGCTTTTATGATCGCTTCCAAACGTCGTGGTACCGATTCGACCGACGTTTTTGCTCGTACCTGAAGGTATTTTATCCCATTCTTCTTGCAACACTTACTTTAAATGCGCTTTGGTTTTAATTTTGTGTTTTTGTACGCTGTTTCGAGTGGGGCCACAGATCTTTTATGAAATTGGTGTCTGGGGACTGTGGTAGTGTATGTGACTGCTGTTTACTGTGAAAACGACACCACATTTTGACGTCATGTGCCGTTTGTTTGAGGTTATTGTAGTGCTGTAATATGAAATTTCGATCTAAACCTAACTTTTTAACACTTTCTTTTAGATTATTATGGAATATATCCAAGTAAACTATATGATTCATAATGCCATCTATATAAAAACTAAATTTCCTACACCATTTGAAGCCCTTCAACCTCAAACCATGACGGAGCCACCGCCATGTTTAACTGTAGGGCGTAAATGTTTTGGAGCCAAAGCAATGTTCAGATTGCACCATACGGTGCAACGGCTATCACGGCCAAAAATGTTGAATTTACTTTCATCAGTGAATATAACTTTCTTCCAAAAGTTATTCATCTTCAATTCATGCGTTTTTGCAATTTCCAAACGATTTTTCTGATTTTGCAAGCTGATGAATGAATGGTTTCTTTCTAGCAACTCTTTTTTTATATCCAACTTGTCTAATTATCGCACAATTTCAGGTTAGGTTAGGTTATTTAATTACGGCAAAGCCTCGAGGGCCATCTGCCTAAGGGGAGGGATGCCTTCGTGGAGAACTTTCTAAAGAGAAACTGGCTCGTATACACGTTACACATAGGGAAAAACTACGAAAAACACCCATGCAGCCAGCCCGTTCGCGGGATTCGAACCTCGGACCGAACTACCAGTGTTCAGCGACTTTACCGCTCGGCCGCTGGTGGGCCGCACAATTTCAGAACTTGCACTTCTGCCAATTATTTAGAAGTTTCTGCATCCAAATTTGACTGCACTTACTTTAGGATCAGCCTCGATATCTTACAAAATTTTCCTTTTGGCGACATCACTCAGAATACCTTTCCTTCCTTTTTAACTTTCATTTTCAATCAATTCATCACTTTTAAATTTTCCAATGATTTTCTGGACACAAGTGAAACATCTACCAGCAATTTTAGCTATTTCACAAGAAGATTTCCCTTTTTTATGTAATCTTAGTGCGAATTTCCTTACGTCAATACTGGTTTCTCTTCGAGGAATCATTTTCTATTTGAAAGTGTGGCTTCAAGTTCATATAACAAATTTCATCACAAAAGTAAAAAGGGTTAAGAGAAAATTACGCAACATTAGAATAAAATAGAAGCCATATAGAAAAAAATCTGATGTGTACACCACATGACTTCCTTGTACGGAATATTAAATTATACGCATTTTTCCTTGCATTTTGTTTAAACTTATTGGATTTAATTAGATCTACTTTGCCGACGGCGCATAAACCACAATAGAATAAGTGCATTCTTTAAAATTCACTCTATTTGTTTACGACTCATTTGTTACTTTATTCACTCTATTTGTAGCGACACTCTGGCGCTAGGTTCACTTAACAGTATTATATTTCGTTCATATTATAACTCAGAATGCACAAAATCTATATTATTTGAAGAATTATCTAATCGTTGCCACATGTTCTATTCAAATATTATAATAAATCTAGAACGATGTATAAGAGAAATTAATCAAACAAAACAAAAAAGAAACAATTTTTCACAGACGATTCAGTATTTCTCATTCAATTAATTCAGTTCTCACTTCGCGACAAGCCAAAAATACATAAAAACTCAAAATATCTCTACTAAAAATTACTAATTATTAAAAATTAACTTACTAATTATTAAAAATTAAGTGAATCTTAAACACTTATTTCCTCGAAAAAATTCCAGAAAGGATTAAGCATGATTTAAATCGCAATAATAAATGAAGGCGTTTATCTTTGTTGTTGCGAAGCTACGTTTCTCTAAATTGGCAACAAATTCACTACTCAGCTGTTTCAAATGTAAACAAACAATGGCCGCCATCAAGAGAAGTATTAGGCTTAGCGGCACTTAAACAACTTTAAAATTGCTGATAATTCTAAAAATATTGCATAGAGGTTTACTAAAGGCATAAAAGCCTTAACTGGAAGATAAGAACAACATAATTCAATCTTTTTTAAAGCCAAAAATGTACAATTTACAAGCATATAAGAGTAAAGATACTGAGATCACTGAGCCGGGTAACAGAGTGGATATATATATAAATATATTTATATACGTTTGGTGCGGCCGATTGCAACCAAAATACAAGGTGCACATCTACATGTTATAGCAGTCCTATATACAAAATTTCAACGTTCTGAGGCTACTCGTTTTTGAGTTATGCGAGATATGTACGTATGTTCGTACAGACGCCGCGAAAAATTTTCTTCAGAATTCATTTTAAATTAGTTTTACAATTTTTTGGTGAGAACAGAGTCCTTTATTTTGTCCTTACGAACAGATATCAAGTAAAAACATCGTTAAATTGCATTCGAAAGTGGTCAAAAGTAGATATTTTCGTTGAAATATGCTGCCTGAAGCTTTTCGCGATTACAATACTTCCTTTTTACTTCGTATAAGGAAGTAAAAAATGTAGTGGATTTTAAACATATTTTTCATTGGGGCATTTTAAATTTTTTGAGGCAAAAATCTGCATATATTTAGTCAAAATGCTTCCGAAATTTTTCATTTTAGTATTTTTTCGTTGATTGTTCTTTATTTTTATTTTAAATTAAATCAATTTTATTACGTGTAAAAAAATATGTTTACGCTTCTTGGTAATGTGTTATTTATATTGAAAATAAGATTTATCAAGTAAAAGTAAAGAGTATTTTTAACTGTTTGAGCCACAGTAATTAATATATTTTAGAACATGAAGCAAAGGTTTGGTTTATTTAATTATGGCAAAGGACACTAGGGCTGTTTGCCTAAGGAGAGGGAAGCCTTCGTGGATGGCTTTCTAAGGGAAACTGGTTAGTATACACGTTACACATGGGTGAAACTACGAAAACGCCCATGCAGCCAGCCCGTTTGCGGAATTCGAACCGAACTACCAGTGTTCAGCGAATTTACCGCTCGGCCGCTGTTGGGCCATGAAGCAATAGTTCCTTTGGAGACTGCATTCCTTTTGCAGTTGCATATTTTATGTTGCTCATTCACTAGATCATATTGTATACATCGCAACATAAGCTACTAAAACAAATTGAAACAGATAGTAAACGGATACTTTACTTAAACTTCATCATTATTAACTACAAGCAACAAAATTAACATAAGACCAGAAATCTAATTTCTATGAAATATGTAATTGTATTATGATAATATGAACATACATTTCAAAACCATGGCAACCTGCTGAATTCCAATTGTGCGACGAGAAGATTTACCGATATTCATTACAATTTGTTACGTTTTTCAGACATTATTTTGGGGATTTTTAAATTTGACTCTCGCAGGATTCTTAGAATTATGAGTAAGATTGGGAAAAAAAATCAAAGTTTTTATTTTATGTAGCTGTAAAAAAAATTATCTTACTATTAGAGTTTACGAAACGTTCTTCTAAAGAGACTCAAAACGCAATGCTATTTCTTTTAAATGTTTGTTACATGGGTAGCTCTATAAGTAATGAATGCATTTTTTATTTTCGAAACTTTTTCCAGAAGACTTTTTCTAAATATTGTACTACATGCACACTTTATTCAAATCTATTTAAATGTACAATAATAAAATATTTTATACATGGAAAACTTGACGAATAATTCGCAAGCTTATTAAAAAAGAATTTAATTCACATCTTAAAAGCGTCAAATTTGGTTTATTTTTACTATAGGAAGCCCTCTAAGGCTATCTGTCTATGGGAAGGGATGCCTTCGTGGAGGACTTTGAAGAAAACTGGCTGATATGCACATTATAGTACTTGGGAAAAACCACGAAAACTCACATGCAGGCAACTTATTTGCCGAAATTTGAGCCCGTTGAATTTCAGCGAATTTAGCGCTCGGCCGCTGATGGGCACAATCTAATAATGGATCCTTGAATATTCCATGGGAAAATATGCTTCCAGATTTGAAATAATACATCTCTTTATTTCTCAAATTTGATTTCTTTTCGTGTGAAACATTATTTTTGTTGCGGTATTTAGATTTGAGACTTATCAAGTTTTTGATTTCGGGGGAAAGAAAATTATACGTCGCTGTTGTTAGTTACTTTAATGTCCGTATGTTACTTCATGAAAACATGATTAGATAAAATGAAAAACTGCAGAATAATGATCTCTTCTATAAGTAGATGCATTTAATAAACACCGCTAGATATCAAAGCGTGCAGTTTTATTGTCTTGAGTGAATAAGACTGTAATTAAAACTATTGCAAACTACTATAAGCTTAAGAGCTTTCGTAAGTTCATAATGTTAAAGAACGAATTATTATGATTACATCATTTTACAGTCATTATTTCCAAGTTCGATAGCCATATACCTTCTGTATTTAAAATACGTATATTTATCCACCACCTGCCTATTACACCACCTGCCTCGTATTTCAATTTATCCACCACCTGCCTATTACAAAATTTCTCTTGTCTTTATTCGTGCCAAATATGTCATTTTTCTTTTTATACAAACAACTGAAACTGATATTTAAACATAAATAATGTTTATTATTCTTTAATATCCATTTAAATTTGTGTCTAGAATTTCAAGGATTTTATACATACTTCGAGAGCCCCAAAAGTGTGTGTGTGTGTGTGATTATGGCAAAGCCTCGAGGGCTATCTGCCTAAGAGGAGGGATGCCTTCGTGGAGGACTTTCTAAGGGAAACTGGCTCGTATAGACGTTACACATGGGGAAAACCACGAAAACACCCATGCACCCAGCCCGTTCGCGGGATTCGAACCTCGGACCGAACTACCAGTGTTCAGCGACTTTATCGCTCGGCCGCTGGTGGGCGAGAGCCCCAAAAGAGATAGAGTACTGTTATCGGGATCGGAGTCGTCGCCAAATGTTCTCCTAAACTCGCCTAGAGACTGATTTATACGAAGTTACCAATGCTTACTTTTAAACTGTTACAGTTTTTACATTTTAAAAATATAAAAGAATTCATTTCAAAATTGGCAACTAGAATACAAATTCTAAAGCTATAACGATGAAATTTGTTTTAATTATTCTTGCATTTACCGCACAGTTGAAAATTTTGGACTTAGCTAACGATTAAACATCTTCCATACAATTTCTTCAGAAACGAGGAGTCGTTCACTCTGGAAGAAAGTGCACGAAAAACCATAAAATAAAGTTCTTCAGTTCGAAAGAAGCACCGGAATGGCGATGTGAAGATCCATATTTGAAGATTTCTTCATTAACTATAAGTATAGTTTTATGAATCCCGATACTAGTTATCATACACAAACTTTTGAAAGGCTATGCGACAGTGCGAAACAGACTTCAATGCACCATTGAAAGTAACAAATTTAATTTTTATTTGAGTTAATGTGGAAGCAGCAGCGTTCTAAAAACGCCAATCTTTTCAGTCATTTTAAATGATATCCGCAGTTTCCTGCCTCCACATTAATTTTAATTGACCAAATTCTCTAACCAATTTTTTTTCTAATTTCTTTGGTAAATTGCTTAATTTACATTAAAAATTTCTAAGTATACGAGTATCTGTTATTTTTCCCTTGCGTTTTCCTTCAACTAAACCGTATCGTAAATATTTTGGCCATAATTTTAATGCTTCGAATTTTTCGCCAGATCGTCAGCTTTTGGCGATATCTGAATCCGGTCCCAATAACAAAACAAACAGTACCAGAAGTAAAACAATTTATACTGTGGGAATATTGCTGTAATTTATTTTAATTAATTTTTTTGCAAAATTTGTAGATCTGATAACATGCGACTAGTTTCTCAGGTGGGTTGAAAAAATGTGTCAGTAGTGGCTGACTTTACAGCGTTTAAAAAAAAAAAAAAAAAAAAAAAAAAAAAAAAAAAAAAAAAAAACAGATAGTAGTAGAGCCTTTATGTTGTTTTAAAAAACAGGAAAATCTTGTATATTTCGTACATGATTAGCTAGTTCCGAGGTAGGAATTTCTCTTCCTCGAAATATGTAATGAATACCATAAAGGACGGATTCTTTTTAAACAAAGAAAAGAAGATAAAAAGGTCACGGATTCTTTTTAAACAAAGAAAAGAAGATAAAAACCAAACAAAATCTTAAAGATTTCAGATTTTACATTACATCCAAAAGGGTGTTTCTTTTAACGTTTTGTGTGTTACCTTTACTTATTATATATCATGTTCTTCGCATTTAAACCATAAAATTCAATTCAACAGTAATATCACTAAATATTTAATTTAGAATTTCCGATATACAGGCTCGAGCGCTGGAGATAAAAATGTTCTTGTTTTCGTAACAGTGTTGCCATTGCTCGCTTCGAAATCGAGTTTGTTAATCAAAAATTCTTTAATGTTTGACAAAATATGAAATAGATAATAAAACAAATTCCAAATTTGGGCTTCCAGATGCCCATATTCGAATGGAGAACTACGTTATTCAAAATTGGATGGCTCTAGGTACCGTTGTTTTATCACAGTGCGAGAAACATGCACACATTATTTTGCTTCTTTAAATATAATGCAAGGTTCTAATATTTGCTGGCAACAATTTGAAAGGTAAACCGACGCAAAATGCAAAAACGAAGTTAATAGCCCTTCTGGGTAAATTGCTCCTTTGAACTAAAAAAAAAGATATAAATATTTAATCACTCACTTAATTGTTTGCCTGAAATTTTATAAGCAGAGAACATTACAAGTAGCCAATATTCATCGACAGATTATTTATTAGAGAGCTATTATGGTTGCGTGTACAATGAAAGGAGAAAATTCCTTATAGTTTCCCCAACTTAAAAAGTACTAAGTAGGGACCCAATCCCCAAATGCAGGTGATGACGAATTAGCATCCATCGCATTTTACCATTACAGAACTATTAGATATTTATTTGCAGCCCAAGCGATAGAAAGTAAGCTATGCACTCGCGGGTGTCAAATCATTGATTATCTCATTTTTAGCCGGACTTGCTACCCATTCCACTACGTGAGATGCAGTGGGGAAAGGCAAAAATTCCTTTAAATTGACTGACATAAATAAAGATAAATTTGGAATTAAATCTTGAATATAATTGTAAGATACTTAAAAATTTTAAATGTTATTCGGATAACCTGGGAGTTACTTTAGAGTTATAAAATATGCTTAATTTTAGTATTACGTTTCTAACACTAACTAAATAAATTTTTCACCTCCTGTCTTACAGAATGTTTACCTTTGCCAAGAAAATTAGAACGTCGAGCCGTGATTGAATTATACTTGATTTTCTTGCTAATGTTCATCCTCATGGCAATCGAAGCTTATGCCTTGAGACTCAGAAGAGTGATATGTGCTTTTTTTTACCCAAAAGTAGGCTATTTTTTTAAATTGTTTTCAAGTATTGCATTTATACACTGGTGTAATGTTGGAATGTAATATAAAAATTCATTTCGCAATTTGATCTTAATTCCTATTTCAAGAATGTAATGTTATGAACTGCACATATTCAATATACCCAACAGCAAAATGCTTTCCTCTTACTAAACACAAGGCTTAAAACGTAGTTTATTGTATTATTTTGCATATAATATCATTTCTACTTCCATTCACTTTCACAGGGTTAAGTTATTTAATGCATATAAACACAGGTTTCTTGAGTTTGGCAATACACAACTAATGCTGTAACTGTTTACTCAATTATGTATTCTTGCTAATGAATTATCCGCCTATGCTAACTGCCATTGCTTCAGGAAATACTGCGGTTTAAGCGAAAGCTCAGTAGGCGCGAGTTAGTACATTTAGAATGCACGTTGGAACGTTAAGTATTCTGTCTGTCTGTCCTTGGGGTTCTAGAAGTTGTTAGTTAACGATTCGTACAATGAAGCAAATAGGCAAGCGAAAGCTACTACAGCAGCATTGGTCAAGTGATACGCATTTTGATAAAAAAAATACCTGATGCGGATACCACATGACTTCCTTGTACGGAATATTAAATTATACGCATTTTTTGTAGCATTTCATTTAAACTTATCCTCGAATTTCATTAGAGATTGGCCCACCAGCGGCCGAGCGGTAAAGACGCTGAACACTCGTAGTTCGGTCCGAGGTTCGAATCCCGCGAACGGGCTGGCTGCATGGGCGTTTTCGTGGTTTTCCCCATGTGTAACGTGTATACGAGCCAGTTTCCCTTAGAAAGTCCTCCACGAAGGCATCCCTCCCTTTAGGCAGATAGTCCTCGTGTGCTTTGCCATAATTGAATAACCCTAACTCATTAGAGATTGATTTCTCATTCAGTTATATCACTTCTGACTTCGCGGCAAGGCAAAAGTACGTAAAACCTCAAAATATCTTCATTAGAATTTGAAAAATATAGAAAACCATAAAACACCAAAAAGTTAAAACAATTTTAAAGTAATTTTTACAATTAAAATTAGAGTTCTAGGCAAAAACAAGCAATTCGGCCAGCGGGAAAGAAGGCAGATATTTTGGCGCACAAAACTCAAAGGTTACTTTATGGTACCATTCGGCAAAAAGAGTGTGAAGGTGCAGGCACTGACTTAATTCACTATTCTGCTATAAGTTTGAAATGTAAACAAATATGGCTGCTATGGTAAAAAACATTAGGCTTAGCTGCACTCAAACAACTTTTAAATTGTTGATAATTCTACAACTATTGCATGCAGATTAACTAGAGACATAAAAACCTTAACTGGAAGATAAGAACAACATAATTCAATCATTGTTGGAATGATATAAGAATAAAACAAATCTGAGCTCAATGAACTGAGTAACAGAGTGTTTGTTTATATATATATATATATATATATATATATATACCCACTCTGTTACACTATGCGAGATACATACGTACACACAGACGCCACGAAAAATTCTCTTCAGAATTCATTTTAAATTAGTTTTACAATTTTTTGGGGGGGGAGGGAAAGAGTCCTTTATTCTATCCTTACGTACAAATGTCACACAAAAACACATCGTTAAATTGCATTCGATAGCGGTGAAAATGGATATTTTCGTTGAAATACGATACCCGAAAATTTTCGCAATTGCAGTACTTCCTTCACTTGGTACTATGAAGTATAAATATGGTACTTAAAATTTCTTTTCTCTTTCCTTTTCTTCAGGTGAAATTAGTTTCAAATTAGAAACTTTGATATTTCAACGCCAATTTGAACATTAAGGATCGGAATTCTTTTCAGATAGAATTTTAGTAGGACAAGAAACAAACTTATTAACTCGAGTATTATTATACGATTATTTCAAAAAGTTTTGTACATTTTTACTAACAGGTGCCAGGTGAACAAAATTATCGTAGGCTAAAATTTAGTTATTTGAATATTTCTTTAACCGGAACTAATGTTCTACTATCAACTACTTAAAATGTATTTTGTCATGCAAACTTTTTTTGAAACACGCTTTGAACTCATACTGTTCAGTGTACATCCCCAACGATCAATAACATAATTTTCCCCTAACTGAATTGTGAAAAATTGAATTAATCATAGTCAGAGAATATAAGGAGCTCGACTATTCGGAATCTTCAAAAATAATAATGGCATTTACTATCGACTTGAATATCAAAACTTTACAATTAAAATTATGCAAGATTTCGGGGAAAAGAGTGCATTTCACACATAAAAGTCGATGTATTTTGCAGACCTTAAAATTAATGAAAGTAAAGCATCATATTCAATTATACAGGGTGAGCACAAAAACAGTCCCCGGTTTCGAAAGGAGATAACTTTAATACCGAAAGGACTATCTTGCCCAAATTTTTAACATTAGTTACATAAACCTTTTCGTGGTATTGATTTGAATCACAAACACTCGATGTGCGCGCCACCTCTTACGCGGGAAACATCTATGTCGTAATTCAGTTCCAACCACACGTTGTGAAGCATATCCGGTGTGATGGAGTTTACAGCAGCACTGATGCTTTCTTGAAGATCATTCAGAGTTGGGTAGTAACAATTTCCTACGAGACGGCCAGAATGTCCTTTTCTTTTATCACAAATGCACCCTGTCTCACTAAATGTTTTATGCCACTTCAAAATGGATTTGTGTGTGGGTGAATCAATATCAAAGTTTCGTTTGAACTCACGCTGCACTCTCACAACACTGCTTGTTTTTGCATTGTAACACACACCAGCTTCGTTGCTGTGGGGTGAACGCCATTTTCGATGTCACTGCCCTCTAACAGTCGAAGTCATGCGTAGCGATTCTGTAAAGAAAAGAAATGAAAAATATTTGAGTTAACTGAGTTGTGGATATTACATTTATTAACATATCCAAGTAACTGTTAATCTTATGACACCTTATTTAAATCAGAGACTGTTTTTGTTATTACCCTGTATAATTGGGCCCTCCAGCGGCCGAACGGTAAAGTCGTCCAACACTGGTAGTGTTCGATTTGGGTTTGATTTCCAGGGCAAACGGGTTGGTTACATGGGCACTTTCATGATTTTTCCTATGTGTAATATAGGAATGAAACTGCTTCCCTTAAAAAGCCTTAGCATGCAGTACCATTATCAGATAAATCTCGTCGACCATGAAAGATAGTGGAGATATCCCAAAATGCCACCAGTCATTTCGGCAAAAATTTAACCCATTAAGTGCCGAATCTTTTTCTCTCAATTTACATTTATTTCTAGGTGTCTAGCTTGACATAGAGACTGGAAATTGGAATATAAATGGAATATAGATGGAATCTGCTATGAACTCCAAATGGGAATTGACATTGAAGTAGCTCTTACCGGATAAAAAAATCCACATTGATAATAAATGGTTAATAAATATATTCTAAAACTGTTAGAGAAAACGGCAGTACACAGGAGTTGGAAATGATATACATAATAATATGACATACCGGCGTTTCGAAAATGCTGAAATCTTGAAATTCGCAAAAAATATACTTCTCCCAAATAGTACTCTCCAGTGATTTAACAACTACTGCTCAACAAACTCTTGCAAAAGCTTGATAAAGGTTGGAACAACAATGTAAAAAAGTAACCTTTGCTGCCAACCTAATTTAAGTTACCAAATTTCCGCTACCAAGACAAATCCCCGAATGGGGATCATGGCAGTCAATAGGTTAAAGGAATAAAATATCCTTCTTTCTTTAGTTAGATAATTAACAGGTACAAGTTACGGATATAGCATTTAAAAAAACTTAAATCTTTTATCATAATTTTTCATGTTGCTTCACTGTTTTTTATCGGTTACTGGCCAGAAAAAAAAACATATAATCAAAATTTAAGTCAAAAATCTGAGTCTTAGTGCCGAATTCCAGTTCAAATTCTTTCCATATTTCTCTCTTGCACTCCTGATAAACGTACATTCATCCACGATGTGTCTAGCGTCCCCAAACTTATCACATATTAAGCATTTATCATTATTCTGTAAATGGAACCGATTAAATAAGCCAGGAAACGCCCATGATTAGTCAGTATCCGATTTATATCAATATTATTTTTTAATATTCATCTTCTTGTTTAACTTTATATTTTTCATTAACTCTTTTTTTCTTATTAGACGACTCCCAGCAAAAATTATATTCTGTATAAATCCAGTTTTCCATTTCAGCAATGATCTTTTTTTCTTGAATCTTGGATGTCAAAATTATCGATCCCATCCCCAAGTGAAGCAATTTTAGGAAGGGTGTTTAATATGTTATATCTTCAATATGTTCAAGGATTAATCTCAAGAAAAGTGGCGAGAAGCTTGGGATGAGTGATGGTTTTTACTTTCAGCAGCACAACGAGGCGTACAATGTGAGGTTATGTCTGCTCTACCATGAACCATATCAACAAGGTACATCAACCCACTCCCAAGACTTACAGCATATGTAAGATTTACTCGAACTACATAATGCTCTAATCCTACCCATTAGAGCATATGTAGGATTTACTCGAACGGAAAATCAGGAAGCACGTAATAACATCCAAAGGAATTCTTAAATCTGTCATGGTAGAAGAGTAGAACAAAATAACCACAGAAGAGAATCTAAGCTAATTGAATCCATGCCAGATAGGATGAGAGAGATTATGGGGATAACCTACAAGATTTCATTTCTCAAGTTACGACCCTCTGTACCGCCTTCTATTTTCAGCGTCGTCTCACCCCCCTCTCTTAAGTGGTAAGTTTCTCGGCCAAGGGAATACGAGACCTTAGGTCGACGGAGTTTTACGACCAAGTAGGAGCAAGCTCCTTCGGAAAGTCTCATCTGATCATCAGAAAAGTGAGATCCCAACTTGTAGAATCGTTAGGATTTTTTGAAGCTGGAAGAAAAAAAATGTGCAATGCTCTCGCCGGGACTCGAACCTGGATCTCTCGAATACGCGCCGAGTGTGCTAACCGTAACACCACGAAGGCATGCAGAAAGGAGAGAGAAAATACCTTATAAACTTTTAGATACAATCCACTATCGTAAAGGTTTTTTTTTGCAGGGTACCCAGACTTGATTCACACGATTTGTGTCTCGTTCTTAAGTGTACACAGACTTTCGGCGGTAAGTGTAGGGAGAAGTTGGGAGGCAGAAAGCCTAGCCCTGGCTCTGACCTGCTGAACTACAAAGCGAAGAAAGCAAAACGTAGTTTACTTATGTTATAATGTGTGAATCTGCAGTGGCAATATTCAATACTACGATCAGTATATAAACATAATGAGTCAATCTACAATCCACAAACAATGCAAATTTGCTAAAATTAGGTGTCAGAAAATGGAAGTTTATTCATATCTTTAATTACTTCTGTGCCGCCCAACCAGTATAGTGCCCGTGAGGCATGGGGGCTCACGGACACTATACATTTACAAACATCCTTAAAATAACATACATTACAAACATCCTATACCATTATAAGCATGGCTCGCCGCACTCTAAATATGAGCAGATAGCCCTCTCGAGAGATTGTAATGGTAGGGGAAGAGGGGGGAGACCTTCAGACCCGTCCCCCTCCCTGGGGTGCTCCTCATCAAAATTAGTGGCGGAACGGAGCTAAATCGCCTGCAAAGTGCTCAAGTCTCTTTCCGACGACAGGCGTAAACCTGCCCTCCTTGCCACGAGGAATTTCATGGGCTTGGGGTAACTATAGGACAGATAAGTGACCATTAAGAACAACAACAATTATTTCAGTATCTTGTGAGCACTAACAACAACAATTATTTCAGTATCTTGTGAGCACTAACAACAACAATTATTTCAGTATCTTGTGAGCACTAACAACAACAATTATTTCAGTATCTTGTGAGCACTAACAACAACAATTATTTCAGTATCTTGTGAGCACTAACAACAACAATTATTTCAGTATCTTGTGAGCACTAACAACAACAATTATTTCAGTATCTTGTGAGCACTAACAACAACAATTATTTCAGCATCTTGTGAGCACTAACAACAACAATTATTTCAGCATCTTGTGAGCACTAACAACAACAATTATTTCAGCATCTTGTGAGCACTAACAACAATTATTTCAGCATCTTGTGAGCACTAACAACAACAATTATTTCAGCATCTTGTGAGCACTAACAACAACAGTTATTTCAGCATCTTGTGAGCACTAATAACAACAATTATTTCAGCATCTTGTGAGCACTAATAACAACAATTATTTCAGCATCTTGTGAGCATCATCAACAACAATTGTTTCTGTATATTGTGAACATTAACAATTAATTCAGTAACCCAGTATCTAGTAATACATGTAAAACAATCGCATAACGAGCAAACTACAAAGTATACATGATGTCTTACGTTTTCTTGTAAAACAGAGAGAGAAGAAAAGAATTTTGTACCTCTACAATGATCGTATGAAGAAAAGAAGAGCATTCCTGCAACACATGAGAGCGAGGGTAAGGAAAGCAGCTAGAGAGCAAGCCATAGCTGTAAGTTCCAAATGTTCACATTTTTCTATGCATCTTTTCAACTGTTCTAAGTATTAAGCGCAATATTTCTGTAGACTCGCGAACCTTCAATTGACGAAATATACTTTTTATAAACTGCTGCGTTGTTCTCGAGAAATGTCTCATCTTTTTAATGCTACTCCCATTTACTGAATTTCTCATTTTACGAACACTTTTATGGTCCGCAATGTTCGTGAAATATAAAGCTTTCTATAAAAAAAAATTCATTTGTCGCCCAGCCTGTATGGGTGGTTTGTAACCCTGACTGCCGTAGCGAAGAGCCCGGGTTCGAATCCCGAAGAAGGCCATGGTTGCAACTGTTCGTCCTTTCATGGGAGGCAACGGTGGTCACCTATTAGGTGCTTCCATAACGAAATGGCCACCATCTCCGGCTCTTGTAGTGGTGCAAAACTAATGGCTATTAAATAAATCGCCAAGCCATTAAAAACAATTATATATACGAAAAATAAATAATATTCTAAATAAGCTTAATAAATGCTTTGATTAGAATCAGCAAGTTTAATTTGACAACATATTTTTAGTTTTATTCCTCATATGTATGCCGAATAATGCAATTTATTGCAGGTTTTGGCTTATTTCATTATTGAAAAGCGCAGTCGGGTTATATGCATAAGGGAAGGAATGCCTTTGTGGAGGTCTTTCTAAGGAAAACTGTTTCGTATCTGTATTATGCATGGGGAACCCACCAGCGGCTGAACTTCACCGTTCAGCCGCTGGTGGGCAATTTTATAGCAGATGTTGCATAAATACATAATTTGATTTTGCAGATTTGAGTTCATATCAGAAACAATATTTTACTAGATTATCTTTAGTGCGGATGGGTAATCTTAAATAAAAAATGTAACAAAAATGTAACAGAATGCAAAACTTTTAAGTTAAGAGTTAAAGTGAAGTCTTCCTAATTCTTAACTGTCACAGCTTCAAGCAAAATAGTTCATTCTTAAGTTTATCACTGAAAATAGCCGAGTGAGACTCGTTCTAAATTTTCAAACAGTAAAATCTTGAATAAAATTGAATTTCCTGTCATTTTTGTTTTTTACTTTTGATAATCCAGATAACTTTTTCACCGTTTTATATCAGTTCTGCCGACATATTATCCGATACAGTCCTATGTAGGACTATACTGTTTTGCAAATATAACCACAAGTATTACTTTGAGCGAAGAAATTTATAACAAAGTCTAATGAAATGGATTGCGTGAAATTCGTTAGTACAACTGGTACGTATGTGTCCTTGGTACGAGACAGTTGATATTTGAAAGTAATTAGGCACTTTATATACGCCAGGAGAGATAGCTAAACGTATGAAGAACAACTATCATGAAACAATAGCAGGCAGGCATCTTTCCTTCTACTATAAACACACTTATTCTGTATTCACAGTTAGCGCCCTTTCTCTTACTTTTACAAGACAAGAGATCGGGCAGTATTAAGTGCCCAAATTCTTGCCTTGCAAATTGGGATTAATTTTCTGAAAAAATATATATATATATACATACTCCATTTGCACAGAATCACTCCCGCGTTGAGCAGCATGCTCCGTTTGCTCCTGGTGGGCTTGCGTAGGTTACGGAGGATCTCGCAGTACACTTCACTGTTAATGTTTAGGGGGAGGTGACGACGCATGCTTCCATTGTATGCCGTCCCGCTTTTCCTCTGGCTCGAAGTAATGGCACCAGCCGTCGTCACCGGTGACGATCAGCTCCAGGAAAGCGGGTGCTCGTGATATCGGAAGAGTTGTCCCACACGCAGTTTCTTCGAAACCCACTGCGTTCACACTTTACAGTAACCCAAACTGCCGTGCACAATTGTCAGCACTGTTTCAACGCTAGCCCCTACCATCACTGCCAACATTCGCATTGTGACACGCCATCATTTCTCACCAGATCGTTCACCTTGCATGAGTTGGGCCGGGATTACCGTGTTTGCCTTGCCTAGTTTCGGGTCATCACTCAAACACTCCCGGCCTTCACGGAAACGGGCACCCCACTTTTTCACTGACCTGTCGAATGCAAAGTATACACAGTCTCCCCCATATGCGGCTACCATCCTGCGATGAATATCCGGTTGGTTAAAACCCTTCTACAGGCAAAAATCTGATAACACCTCGCTGCTCCTCAATCATAAAATTTTGTAACGTAAATGCCATGATCTCCTCACATGCACCGCCGCATCAATTGGATGGAACACACAACTGCCTACTTCTCTCCTGCATGGATCATGTGATGGCGCACAATCACGCTGGACGTTACATTCGGGTCCCTAGATATCCCAAAGCGGCATATTAACCGCTTTGGTTGTTACAACAGATTTGGTTGATTTGGATGTTTCGTACCTTTTCATTTGAACACCCCTTATACATTTGATCTATTAATTAAAGCTATAATCTAAGAATATTTCTTCTTCGTATTTCTTATGAGACGTATTTTGCTTTATTGTTAAGGAAAGTAAGATGACAAATTTATTTCCACCCTTTCTACACTGATGTTCAAACGAAAGCGTTTTACATTATTAATTATAATCCCAAATTACATCTATGAAAAATATGTACCTTATTTTTAAATTTTAAGCAGCATTTTTAAATAAATTCTTATTTTCAGATTGACAGTGGAGTCTTGTTTTCCTTACGTCACCTGTACCCAAAATATTTTGGATGGCTAGGCAAGCTAGGATTGGGGAAGAAAAAATGCCTCGTCTGTGAAGAAGTAGAATCTAGGAAAATACCTTTCATCATGTGTTCTGACGAATGTCCTTTTTGTTACTGCCCAGAATGCTGGATTGACATCAAAGTACGGTATAACATATCATATGTTATGCTTGATAAAATGTATTTGGTACTGTAGTGATATCGGGACCGAATTCACGAATGTATGTGCACGTGTGTGGATATGTATACACACACATACATTCATGGTTACATATATACATGCATACATGAACACATACATACATTTCTGTATCTGGTCCTGATAACCAAATAGGATACAATTCCGTTATAGGGACCATAAAAAATCGCCAAACTGTTGTTGATGCCAATACTGACAAAAATAATTACGGTAATCCTAACGCAAAAAAGGAAGCATAATAGTAAATAACTACTAAGATTATTGGGCAAAAGTTATATTTACGGGCACCCCTTGGTGAATATTGGCGATTTTTGTCGGTACATTAATACCGAGTTTGTTCAATTCTTTTGGCTTTGTGTAGCGGCGATTTTAGCGCCAAAAATCGCCGTTACACAAACCCAAAATAACAAGTCGAAGAACTGAACAAACTCGGTATCCATCGATCTATTTTAACTTAAAAAAAATCAGAGAATAGCAAAAACTTGGCATTGCGCACTCCCTTGACCTGGCGATAAATGAAACAACAACTTCGTGATAATACAAGGGATACCCTTCCGTCTACTCTAACCGATTATTGTTTTAATTTAAGTGAAAGGTTAATTTCATGTAATACATTTTTTATTATTGTAATTTATAAAAAAATCGCTAAACATAACTGAAATTAATCGGGAGGTACAAAAATCTTTATGCCTTCCAACATAGCAGAGATTATTTCAGTATTTTGTGCAAACGTCTGTACATAAACTCGGACAAATAAAAATAGAAATGCTGTCGAGTAGTGCTGCATCTTTTACGCCATTTAGCACTGACTCACAGCCGCTCTAAATATATTCTTTAAAATTAAATTAAGAGAATTACAATTTGAAGTTTAAATTCCATTTTACAAATTTGTTATTCTTAAAGTAATTTAAATTTTTTTAATTAGAAATTTAGAAATTTTTTTGCAAGTATTAAATAGTAAAAGTCAAATTCGTATGTAAAAATTGCTTTTGCTAGCAATGGCCAATAGTAATCGATATAAAAATTTGCCTATGACACTCACTTTTGAGGTCCACAAAATTGTAGTTGTGGCTGACAGTATCTGGAACAGCGAATAAGAAATAACATTCATTAGATTCTGTGCATAATCCGTCAAAAATTCATTGTGGTGGAAAAACACGTCCAACATTACTCTTTCTTTTACCAGACTTTCGTCTACTTCATTAATTTTGCCACATTCGCCGATCGCATGTAACTGTATAGAAAAAGGCAAAGGGTTTAAGTTCATCAATTCTAATGAGAATGCACTAGCGAAGTAAAGCACTGTGGTTTTACATAATTTCTGAATAAGCTATTTGGGCGAATTGAAATAATTCTTGCATTTAAACTTGTATTCCATATTAATATTTAACTTGAAATTAATGTAGATAATTGCTGAGAGAATTATATTTTTGTAGCGTAGTTTAAGTGAGATGAGATCACTTGGGGTCACGTGATACGAACCGGGGAATCAGGCTGTTGAACCAGGAAAGCATAGTAAATTCTTAAATTAATGTCTTTTTACAAATTGTCTTTATTTATTAGCTTTTTACAAAATTTTAAACCATATTAATATGCTTATGCCTTCAAAATAAAAAATTCTTAGAACTAACATTTGTTAACATTTTTTATGTGTATACTGCATGCTGTCGCCAACAAAGTCTGCTTGGCGAAATCTTCGCCGGCGAAACGGAAAACTTCATCACTTTATCCAATCTTCACTGTGTAACGTTCCATTAGGATAAGGCTCCTGGTCATACCTCTAAATCTACTATTTGCTTAAACAAATGAGAAATGAAACCGAAATTGAACCCATTTCCTTTAAATGCATTCCTCCCAAGTCCTCCGATGGGTCTGCTATGGTTTGCTTTGGTTTGGTTTATTTTAATTATGGCAAAGCACACTAGGGCTATCAAGGGTAGGGATGCCTTCGTGGAGGAATTTCTAAGGTAAACTGGCTCGTATACACGTTACACATGGGGAAAACCACGAAAACCCCCATGCAGCCAGCCCGTTCGCGAGATTCGAACCTCGGACCGAACTACCAGTGTTCAGCGACTTTACCGCTCGGCCACTGGTGGGCTGGGTTTGCTATGGATTACTGGGCAAGTGAACTTTTAAAACAGGCTCTTTATAAGCGGCATTCCAAAAAACTGTATGGACTCTAGAAGATTGTGAAGGAGGAGAGGAATAAAATCAACCTTGATATTATAAGAAAATGACTTTTATCTTGGAATCAAGATGTAATATAATAGTTCAAGAAAAGTTCTATCAAGCTGAACATATTAACACCATCTATTTATCTTCAGCTGGAGTTCATAAAATTCGATAGATGTCATCTCCTGACACCTAAAATAGATGAACCTAACGGTTGTAAGGAAGGAAGGAAGGGGATTTTCGATCCTTCGAACCAATTTTGACGTCTTATTTCTATCTTTTCATTACAGGTTTCTTTTCTGCACCGCCATTTCGCTACTGAGTTAGCACTAAAGCAGAATTTCATCTAGTGGTTGTTCGAACATAATTTTACATCATGAATGATGCCTGTTCTTTGAAAAAATTTTATTGCAGACTTTTAGTAATTGGGCAATTTCCAAATTGTTAAATCTATAGCGTTATTAAAAAAAAAAGAATTAAAAATTAAACTAGTATTTCAGTGGAGACTTATAAATATAGAACTATCTAAATTTACGCAACTTGAAATGGGCTAAATGGGCGCGTTTTGCTAGATTTGGCGCTTTTGCGCATATATTTTCGCTGCAATTTTTACGGCCCCTAAAACAGAATACTAGTATTTATTTTACCAAAAGAACTTTATAGTTCTGAAACTTTTCACAAAAGTACTCGTACAGTTATTCTCGGACAGAGCACAACCAGTAGTTACCATTTCAAACTACTAAGAACGTTAAACATATATATATATATATATATATATATATATATATATATATATAATTAAAGGGAAGTATCCCTATTAAAATTCTATTATTTAAAATTAAATTAAGAGAATTACCATTTGAAGTTTAAATTCCATTTTACAAATTCGTTATTCTTAAAGTAATATTAATTTTTTTTCAAGTTTAGAAATTTTTTTTACAGGTATTAAATAGTAAAAGTCAAATTGGTATGGAAAAATTGTTTTTACTACCAATGGCCAATAGCAGTCGATATACATAAAATTGTGATAAAAATTTGTCACTGATAATTAAAGTTATATAAAGAAAATTACTTAAAAATGAACAACCCATAGGATATCCTTACATTTAATTATTTGTTATATACATATATCTATATTCCAACAATTTATAATTAGAAAACTTTTTATATACTATCTCAGAGGAACAGAAATTCAATTAAAACCACGAATTACTAAAAGAAAAAACATTTTTAGTCAGAAAATTAATTATTATTTTAAAGTAGCATTTTCTAGACTTCTGTTGCTTTAAAAACATAAAAATGTATGAAGAAAAATCCTTAATCACAAAAATACCAAATTCAAAAGTAAAAATTTTAAGTATTGAAAGAGTGGCTATTGTCATTGACCTCAGATTAATTTACTTTTCAAGAAGAACAAACCAATCTACTATCAGTTAACAATAATTAAGTTGACGCTGTTTAGTCTTTTTTCCAAGTAAGGATCAAATTTTTCAAAAAAAAAAAAAAGTTTTCTAATTATAAATTATTGGTCTATTATTTTGCGGCTTTAGCGCAGATAATTTCATTTACTTTTATTTAGAATTTATATTATATATATTTAATTTAGTAGTTTATATATATGAGATCGCCGAAACTAGCGACTTTATATGACAAATATTAGTCCTTTATATGACAAATAATATTAAAAAATATTATTTGGAGACAAATATTAGTCCCCAAAGCCATCGCCAGTTTAAATGTATGGAAATTTCATAGCAAATGGCATCCTAATATTACGACTATACACACCAGACATACAGGATCTAAAGGAAAATTCTTTTGTTTTTAGATTTAACTTAAATTATTTTCAGGTCCCGTTGTTGTACATGTTAGATCTATGTGTACTAAAGAGAACTCGATTGTATAAACATGATCATATCTACCCTAAAGAAAAAGGTACTCCTTCTTTTTTTTTTTTTTTTTTTTTTTTTTTTTAAAGCGGCCTCCAACTATATTTGGCAATTTTATATTTGCACAAAGATCTCAGCTATAATTTCACCAAGCTCGCGAAACTTGAATGTAAAAATAATACAATATATAATAATAACAATAATACTCGCTCACATGTCGTTTGCTAAGAATATTTTTAAGAATCCTTATCATTCTTATTTTATCACATATGATTGTTCCAGTCAACTGCAGCACTTTCACACATAGTAAGTGCTTGTTACGTCATTTGATGGACGTCATGTCCTATGTCCAAGAATACATAAATCTAATAGCAGTGACGAATGATATTCTGGAACCGCTGAACCAATTTTCAAATCGGAGGCCCTTCTTCTCTTTGTAATTTTTAAACTGCACCTCCAGATGGTTTCTTCCTTAGCATAAAGTTTCATATTGTGGACATTCTCACATACTCGTTTGTCGGTTAAAAGACATCTTTCTTGAAAATGATATGGTATCCACCTCATTTCTTTGCAAATTAAACATTGTTAACTTCATATTCACAAAAAAGCAAAGAGTATATTTTTAAATATACAATGCGAATTCGAAAACCTCATCAAAAGTGAATAATATAAGAACTTGTAGCGTAGAGCAAAAAATGCAACACGCTAATATACGATTACATGACGAGATATAAGAACACGCAGCCAGACTTTGGCGAGATATCTCCGTTGGTTGTCGACTCATTTTCGAGGGCCTCTAATACCTTAGTTCTTATGATTTGAATTTTAAAGTATTCTCAAACTAGTATATTGTTTAACTAAAAGATGTATAATTATAAAACACTAAATGGGGTTTTCGTAGAGAACGTGTTAAAGGAATATCGGAGGGCTACATGTAATTTCGTTTGTATTTGTGTACATGTAGAGAAAATTTGTCTACATATATAGAAATCCATTAAAATATCCCGGTAAAATGGCCCTTGTGTGATTTTGATCTTTTATTAACGATGTGACCAGATTTTACTCATCACAACTTCAGAATTATGAATTGTTATGTTTGTTTATTATAAACGTATCTTTTCATTTCTCATTTCACAAATCATGCACTTAGTGAAAACTTTGCAACCCATAAACTTTAATGTACAGGAATATGTATTTACTGTATTTCACAGTACAAAATGTTTTAAAGCGAAGTATGCTAATAAAAATGCTATCTTTTTCAGAGGAAGTGCTTCGTTTGCCTTCCGGATGATGACGAAGATTCTGCCATTACTGAAGACGACCTGTCAGACTTTGAATAATATCATCAAGAAAGATTGCAAATTGTCGAAAAACTTCAGTGTAGAAATATCAGATTAGATGAAAATCATCCATTTATTTTGTAATTAATATTAATCGCCACTTTTTATTACAACCATTGAAAAGTTTTTCTAATTCAATCAATAAACGCAGATATAATTTTATTTATTTGTGAAGACCTCAGAGGTATCATTCATATTAAACTAAACAATGTAATTCTATAATTCGCAAAGATACAAAACTAAAGAATGTAATTCTATAATTCGCAAAGACACAAAACTAAACAATGTAATTCTATTAATTCGTCTTACCATTCTTGCTAAAGCAGTTTATAATGAGTATTTCAAACATCTTAGAATGTGATTTAAAATTTTTATTTGTTACAGTAAAACAAACCACGTAAAGTCATACTGCCTTAATGGGAAGGATGCATTTGTGGAGGACTTTGTAAGAAAAACTGACTCGTATGCTGGTTACACACGAGCAAAACCATGAAAACGTAACATCAGCCAGTCTGTTTGAAGTGATTCGAGCCGAAGTTAAATTACTAGTGTTGAGCTGTGTTATCCATTTACATAAAATTTTCAAAAGTCAGCAAAGCTCTGAATTCAGCGCTATTTAATACGAAACAGTGAAACCACGATCTTCAATAATTCCCGTGTACGTTAAATATCATTATAGTCACTAAATTTTCCTTGCTATGACTATGTAGTTAATACTTCAAAATTTTGTGATATCCCTACGTGACTTGGTTTACATACTGTATAAAACGTAACATGTATTTCTGACGAAAATTACAGAAAAGAATTCTCGAAATGGAAATTATAAATAAATTTTGCTGCCCAACCGATATTGTAGTTAGCGTCGCCGACTGCCGCGAGGAAGGGTCCGTGTTCAAATCCTAGAGAACGCAGGGATGTTTGTAAATGTATAGTGTCCGTGCTGCATGGAGGCACTAAATATGCGGGGAGCCGAAAGTCCTCTTGAGAGGTTGATGGTAGGGGAAGACCGAGGGATGCGAAACCCTCGGACCCCTCCCCCGAGCTGCTGTCCATCAAAACTGGGGTGCGGAACTGAGCTAAATCGCACTGTCACCTGTAAGGTACTCGAGGCTGTTGCCAGCGACAGGCGTAAACTTCCGCTCGGCAGGCGTAAACTTTGCTACGAGGATTTTCGTGGGCTTGGGCTGACTTATAGGTAAGGCAAGTGAATATTAGCAATAACAACATAAATGAGTTTGGGGCAAAACTTTGTTTTAAATGAGATGGGATTTCTACAATTGTAGCTGGAAAGCAAAGCAGAAACTAAGGAATATCTATTCATACTTTTGGTTCTACAGTTCATTTTTGTTACATTTCATTTACCTAAACGTTAAAAATTCGCTACGATTTTTACTCCAGCTTTCTGGCAGCATGCTATTTTTATTTCGCATATCACATATATAACTGCCAGTTTCGCTTAGAAAGACTTCCATGAAAGCATTTATATCGACAGCCAGACCGACCTTACCTGGTTTGGCGTAATCGAATCACATTCAATCAAATCAGTTATTTCCAGTACGCTGATCAAAAATAGCGGAAACATAAATTTTATTAGATTTTCTAATTCAAGATCCCCCTGAAAATTAGAATAAGCAAATGACGTCAAATTTAAATAACTTTAATAATTTCCAAGATATCACAGTAAAAACCTCACAAAAGGAGGGGTTTCTGTTTGTATGTTGCTAAACTGTAAATTTTAATATTTATTTAAAAATTTTCATCCCTTTCCAGTATCATAAGTTAGAATCTCTGTAATAAGAAAGGTGAAGTTTAAAAAGTGATATAATATAAATATCAATTGTTAAACTTGTGCGTGTCTGCCAACCAAAATAGCGAGTTGGCTCAAACTCCAATAAATTAACAACGACAGGCTTCCGAAGTGAATGTTGATACACTAATGATAATTAAAACTAAAATTTTGGATACTTTTTTGCAATATGACGGGTTATCGTCACTGAAATTAGTAGAGATCATTGTTTTACAATATTCGAAGTAAAAATCAGAAATCTTAATCTTAATAAGACTGCGAAATATTTACTGAAAATAAATAAACCTCGTTTCCTAATAGAGTATAAAGAAAGGGGAAGATACAGTTCCCCCAAAGTATTTCAGGTCTCATTTTTAAATTAATGATTAGGTATAAAAATTGTGTTTCCTTTCAAAAGAGTGCAATCTTGGCGAAATTTAGCAAAATATCTGACATCTTCAATTTTTGCGGAGTTCTTTCCTCGCAGAAAAAAATTACAGCATAAATGAAATAGTCTACACTCTAACCTGATAAGACAATTAAAATCTTATAGTTGGATAATTATGCACAGTTACTTACAGAATTTTCCAAGCAGTGATGAGTAAATGCGTTTTCCTACATCAGACAAATAAAAACAAATCAACCTGAGATTTAGTAGTTCGAATCTGAACAATATTCTCAGAAGTTGAACGAGCATCACAAATATTTCTTTGGGGCAGCAGAATCGCGGAAATGCTACTTCAGTTATTAAAAAAATCAATCTCTAATATTTTTAGCCCAAAAGACGTTAGCCCAGAAGACTTATTAATTTTAAAACAGCATTTTGCGTCGATTCACTTTTCAAACTTTTGCCACCAAATATTATATTTAAAGAAATTAAATAATGATGAATCTGCATGAATGTATGAATGTTTCTCGCATTGTGAAGAAACAACGGTACCTACATCCATCAGATTTTGAATAACGTAGTCCTCCAACAGAGCATGACACTCACTTAGAAGCCCGATATTTGAATTTCGAATTTTTTTATGATCTATTTCAAATTCTGTAAAACTTTAACGATTTTTTTATTAACAAATTCAATGATTTCAAACCGAGCAATGGCAACAAAACATTTTTGTCTTTAGCGCGCGAGACTATGTAGTGGAAATTCTAAGGATATGTTGCTTTTAAATATTTTGTGATATTGCTATTGGATTGGATTTTATGTTGTCTAAGTGCTATGTTGTTTAAGTGTCTAAGTGCGAACATGGTACTTAATAAATAAAGATTATACACAAAACGTTAAGAAAAACGCCCTTTTGGGCGTTTTCTTAACGTTTAGTTTTTATTATAACGTTTATTAAATAATTTATAATTTTAAATTTAATTATGATTTTAAATTATTAATTATAAATTATTAAATAATTTATAATTAATAATTTTTATTTTAATGTTTATATAGCGTTTATTTTTTATTTTCCTTATGAATAAATTTTATTAGTAGAGGTACTCAATTATGTAAAGAATTTGGCACAATTTTAAAGCTTCATATAAGCCCCAGCATTCTCGAAACAGTTCCTTTGTAAGTAACTAATCGGGGATTTTTCTGATCGCAGTATGATTTCCTCCGGCTCTTCAGTACGAATGGTTTATTCCAAATATCATTTCCAGTAGCTTAACTTGATCTAATTTTAAATGTATGCTTGTTGTAATTTAGTTTTTTAGAACAAATCATTTGATGATTTTTTTTAGCAAATGGAGCCGTTAAGTGCTAAGAGACCATTCCTCACTGAAGCATAAAAATTAGACAGAATTTAAATAATTGGAAGCAATAATCTCCGGTATACTTAGCATGTTGCAGAGATGTTTTCTGGCAGTCAGTACTAATGCATATATTCATTTAAAGAAATGTATCTAGCATGCTGGAGCTTACGTAAAGTTTTAATATTACGTTAAAGAAGATCTTACAAAATGGAGTGTTAGCAAGCTTTGTAATTACGATCTTGTTGAGTAATCGAGGGCTAATTGCCTAAAGGAAGGGATACCTTCGTGGAGGAATTTTTAAGAGAAATTAGTTTGCGTTCATGTTATATAAGGGAAAAATCACTAAAATGAACAAGCAGCCAATCTGTTCAGCGAGATTTGATCCCAGATTTAAGTACCAGTGCTCAATTGTGTTATTAACCCTTTCGCCGTCCTCTCCTGTCCGCGAAAATTTCTCCCCAGCGGGCGGTCTGTTTTTCGTAGCGTGTAATGTTGTTTCCTCCGTACATCATAACTTTCCATACATAACTTTCGTAGTGGATGAATGTCAATGAATATTATGTAAAATTATAAAGAAATAAAGCATAATGGAAAAATAATATCTCTGCTTATTTCTAACAGCAGGATAATTTGATAACATCTGTTCCAGGCGGTTCACTCTTCCCATTTTGTTGTTGTAATCTTTTACAATTATTGGTTTTTTTACAGTTTTTTTCCGTGTCCAACATCAATCATCGAGTTATTATGGACTGTACTCATCAAACGTATATCCTTCTTGTCTTTCCAATTTACAACCTGATTTTTTTCTTTTTCTGCTGAGTAGACGTTGAAGCCATCTATCATTGTCTTGTATCTTATGTAAAATGGCGCGAATATTCATAAAACCCGGGGCAAATTCAATTAGAAATAGAATGCCTGATTAGTGCTACCCTCTAGGAGGTATTAGAACAAACAAAGATAAAAACTCAAACAAGTAAACATTTAGAAAGCGTTTTAAACATTTAAAAGTTTTAAAATGTAGAAGAACGCTTGTAGCGCGTTCCGCCCTGCGGAAGTTTCACTTGAACGCGCTAAACGCGTTACGGACGACGAAGAGGTTAAGCTTCCCTTCCTCGAATAAAAGTGATTAACCTGATCACGTTACTTTAGAAATATAGAATGTATTACCACTCACCCTTTATATGAACAGAAAAGTGCTATCATGATTTTAACGAGCTTCATGTATTTCAAATACAAAATCACATTGTTTAATATATTCTTTTCTTGTATGTAAAACATGAAAAGCTGTGTTTATATTTGAAAATTGCAACAACATTTTCTTTCTTTAATTTCTCACTTAACCGTATTAGAAGTCATCAGCACGTAAAATCAAAAACGCAGATATAAAAAAAATGAGCTGCTATTGCCTATTCGTCAAATTTCCCTTTTTATTTCACTTTAACTGTTTCCGCCTCAAAAAAAATATTATATTCTTTAATGTTTTTGTTGTTGCTAATGCTCATTTATAGACCTATAGGCCTATAGGCAGCCCAAGCCCACGAATGACCTATTTACCTGTTGACCACGAAACTCCGCGTCGCAAGGAGCGCAAGTTTACTCCTATCGTTGGCAACAGCCTTGAACCCCTTACAGGGGACATCCCGCCGAGTTGGTAACCAATTCTGCATGGATATATCTATACCTGGGTCGGAAGCCAACTCAGCGGTTTACTTCCCCTACCACTCCGCCACTGGCACATTACTTTTACAAGTATCCATGCCTTCTTCGGGATTCGAATCCAGGTCTTTCGGCATGTATTCTTTTCATTTAACAAATAAATTCTTCTACTGTAAAAACTGATGGATAAGAAGAAGAGAAAGAATTTAGAAGCAGCCTTATGCAGCTGCTGTGAAACCATGAACCTTTAATAAAATCTTTATTTCCCACGAACTTAGAATATATCGAATTTCAGAATGCTGTCATTCGGCAAAGAAATCCGTCAAATTAAATCAACCTAGCATTAATGGCTAATATACTGAGAAAAACACAGCAAAACGCAGTTTTTCATTTTCATTGTATTTAACGTGTTTAATAGTTTGAAGCTTAACTACTGATTATACTGCGTGATATTGTGAACATTTCTACGAATATCACTGAGGAAAATGTCAGAGTTCTGGACATATTTCTTTTGATAAGCATAAATTTAATTAACCTACTATCGGATTTGTGCATTCAATATATAACAAACCCGTACGCTCGCAACAGTATCATTGCTAGTACCATTGCCCACCAGCGTCCTGGCAGTAAAGTCACTAAACACTGGTAATTCGGTCCGAGGTTCGAATCCGGCAAACGGGCTGGCTTCAAGGGTGTTTCGTGGTTTTCCCCATGTGTAACGTGTATACCAGGCAGTTTCTCTTAGAAAGTCTTCCCCGAAGGCATTCCTTCCCTTAGGCAGATAGCCCTCGGGACTTACCATAATCATATAAACAAAACAAAACCAAAAAATGTATCATTATACATGAACTTCACACAGTACGCTAAAAAACAGAACAGAATAATTATGTACAGTATTCTGATACAGCTGATGGTAACGCATGTTGTTTAACTAGTTGCAGAAAATGTTGATACTATTCGTAAAAATTTCTGAAACTGTGCACTGTTAATTGAAGTTATATGGTTGACTCAGGAACGCTTTAAAGAGTGTGGCTGACGGTATTAACAAATCGATCTTGTCTCCTCTTCCAGGCTCCTTAAGGAGGAGCCTGGAAGGTATAGATCTTAATCCAATATAGTGTTTCATGCCGGTTTCAAGAATTCGTTAGTATTAATGATAATTTTTAGCAGTCGGCTTCCCGAGATAGTGGTTCGAGGCAATTGTGCAATATAATACGCAGTGGTCAAAATCACATGTGCGTTGATCGCTTTCTGTGAAGCCAAACCAGCCCATTCCAGTGAAAAACTGGATGAGCTCTGGGGCGCCGTTTTTGGTACGCAGTGAATACTCTTCGTCCTGTTGGTCTACTAACTATATATTATAAAGATGTGGATTTGTATTCGATTTTAGATGAGTAGTTTGTAGTTTTACATTGAGTGTGCTAACAACAATATCTGATAGAAACCTGATCGAATCTTTCACTAATTTGACAACCTGGTGTACTATTTCATTGCCAAGTTCTAGTTCCTTCAAGTAAATATTTGATCTGCAATTTTACATAGTGATGCAAATTCAGATTGCTTTGGTAGCGTTGTAGTCATAAGACCTATTATGAATGCCAAGTAACGGAATCGACAGAGTACAAATAAATAATATAATTTTACTCTGAAGCATCATTTTATGATTCATTAAAAGCTTTTCTAGAAAACCACTAAAATACCATAAATTAATGACGTGTCATTTGTTTAATTGATTACGGCAAAGCATGCAGTGCGTATCATCTAACGTAAAAAAAAAAATGTAGTCGTGGAGGATTTCGTCGGGGGAAAATTATATCTAATTTACAGTATTCAAAAAAAGTCACGAAACTTCCATGCAGCCAGCTTGTTCGTCCAGCTAATGCTTAAACTAAAAATTAGCCTTCAAGTGCGGAGCGGTTGAACATGGTACCGAACGGTAAGTAGCCGTTACCGGAGCGGTAAAGCCATTGAACATGGTAGTTCCGATCTGGGTTCGATTCTAGGCGACTGGACTAACTGCATGGCATTTTCATTGTTTTCTCCATCTTTAAAGAGTATACGAACCAGTTTGCCTTAAAAAGTCCTCCACGAAAGCAACCGTCCTTTCTGATAGGACAATGCTAGTCTTCTGTCATCGTATCCTCATCCGCCAGTGAGATTTCAGAGACAATGCGTTTCATTGTTTTCTTATTTTTTAACTGTGTATAAGGTACACACATTTATGGTGGACCAATTTGATGAGCCCTTATGTGTGAGGCCCCTCATGGGATTCTCCGATAAGCTCTGGTAAGAGCGGAATTAATTTCCGCTGTAAACCAGAATATGCAACCAAAGCATCAAAGCATCACCCTCCTTTTAGAAAGATAGCTCTAGTGTGCTTTGCCGCAATCTCAAACCAAGTCAGTCTTTACAAATCTCTTATAAATTTATCATTATAATGAGCGAAATTTCAATCACGTTATTTAAAATTTTAAACGTACACGCATACACACACACACAGACAAAAAGCTTAAAATAAATTACAAATATTTGAAAGGAAAGAAATCTATTTAAAATAAGTTTCATACTTTTACTTGTGGTTTGTCATTAATTCAGCGACAAGTATTCGCTGTAGAGGTTAAGAAGATATTTTTTCAATATATAGTTTGAAATTTAAAGACAAAGGGATTTTATTTTGTAAAATAAAATTAGAGCCATTGATAGTTTTGGTTTTTTGTATTACGAACTTTTTAAAGAATAAATGGTACAAATGTGTAAATAACAACAAAATTTTCCATTTCGTTATTTAAATGTCCATTTCTTTCATAACAATCACTGAAAAATATATATGTTAAATAAAAACAATGCAAACAAATAACTAAATGCATTTGAGAAAATTAAAAGCAAAACTTTTTTAAATCTTGTGTTTTGTGAAAAAATTCTAAAAAGGACTAAAATATGTTTATAAAAAAATGCCCCCCCAGACCCATAAATAAAGATCTTGCACCGAAAATAAGGTAATATTAGTATGTGGTGTTCGATGCATTTTTCATTAACTAAAAAATGTTGCAAATGATCATGATTATGAATTGGGAAAATTGAATGTATTTTAAATTATATCGATCAGTTTCAGTGTTGAAAAATAAAATAAAGATTTAGATTATTAATACTAAGTTCGTTTAGAATTTCTAAACCTTTTAGTTTGTTTAGCACTTTATAATATGAAAAATAAATTAATGATCTTATAATCACGTCCAATGGCAACATTGGGAAATTAGTTACTTGCTTGATCACGACAAAGATAAACTAAAAAAACTTATTTCTTATGTGTAATAACTCTTAAGCAACCTTTCCCAGGTTGTCTGAGCAAAAACGGTAAGTTAGTGCCACAAAACGACACACAGATTTGGAAAGATTCTCATAAAGATATTTCTGACATAAAAAATTTATATTTTGTCCCAAAGAATGTTATAAAGCTTTTGCTAAGGTTTTTGAAATTGTGATTTATCTCGACACGAATTGCTGTTATTTAATGCTTCATAATATATTCGTGTAAGTCTTTCAAATTCTTTTCTTCTACTAGAGGCAGAAAATTGCCTGACCAAGTGCTGCAATAAGAAAGCCATTCCAGGTTTTTGTTTAGCAGGAATTCACTAAAATATGCTAGCTCTATTTGTGATTTGAAAGGAATACCTCAAATTCGAACATTGTAAAACATATTATTTCAACATTTTGTTTAGTTAAGTTAGGAAAGATAAATGTACAGGGAAATCATTTCTTCGAAAGAACATGAATTTCAGTCTGTAATTTTAATTTGTATTCAATAATTATAACTACTCAAATAAAATCACTACTTAGAACGCAGAAAATCCTAAAAGACAAAATGCTGAATCTTGTGTGAAAGACATCATCTGATCATGCGCATAGTTCTAGTCCATACGTCTTAACGTTAAAGGATTGCAGTTTAAAAGTGTTACCAAACTTTCAGTTTCTAAGTGCGGTACATTTTCTGGAAATCTTATTATTTATGGTAAAAACAAATTCCATAAATTTAGAAATAAGTTTTAAAAATTCACAAATTTTTTTGTAAAACATTTATTGTAAAATTAATTTCCTGAAGTCCTTTTCAAATCTTTACGTAATCACTATGCAAATGAAATGTTGGCTTTTGTGAATGGCGATTACGCTGCCTTTTGTGATCAGTACTCTGAAGGTGATAGAAACGTGTTAAACTGCAGGAATTTTTCTAAAGCTTCTAAAGTTAATTTGGATTTTTACGAAGATAAAGAATATGTAGTATTCAAGGTATGTAATTCTTGATACATCTGATCTGTTTTGTAAAGTTGTTATACTTTTTTCAACTCCTAGATCAATAGATTTACTGCAATAGTGTGTAAATATAATAATGCTTTGTGCTGGCTTATGGCAAAGAAGCGAGATCGGTTAATGTGCTGGTTGTGGAAGCGAGATCGGTTAATGTAAACTTAATGTTTAATGTAATAATGACTGTAATATATCTAAAAAATTGTTTCTAACTTCTATGGAAATTTTTATTCAGATAACAATATTTCTGAAAAATAATCTAATAAGATACACTAAACTAGCTATTTAAAATTTTTCATGTAATCAAGGTGTTAATTTCTACTCAAAATAAGTATATGTTAAGAAAATGTTAACATCTCGGCACCAACTCGAAGATAAAACGGCATCAGATATTATACGTATACACAAGATTCATTTCCAATTATCAAACTTTGAATGTCGTATTACTTTTAAAAGTAGTATTATTTAAAACTTTTGTGTTTCGCATTATTTATATCAGTTGTCTAGTCGAAAGCACAGTCAGATGCAGTCAATAAAACGCACGATCTAAAATCTCTGTGTAAATACGAAAAATAAATCTCGTATGAAATAAGTTATTTTCTTTTAAATGTTTAAGTCTGGTTGTTTATGAGGACTGCATGATCCGAAAGTGAAATGTGGATTATTGTGAAATGAAATTAAATTATGAATTGAGTAGTTATAATTATTGAATACTAAGCAAATTAAATGAAATTAAATTATGTTTTATAACGAAAAAGTCCAGTGTTTACTATAAAAAAATACTGGAAAAGCCAATCTTAATTCTACACTTAAAGTTCATAGTTTATGATATATACATACTTTTTTATGATTATTTGAAATTAGATTTATTATTTGTGATATTATATCGGTAAAAATTATAATTAGGGTTCAAATTTAAACTTGAGATTTTCATTCTGAATTTACGAATAGTGTTATTTTTGGGGCAAAATTGATGTTCATGTTACGATAGGTGATCCTTTTCCACTAACATATAAATAAATGTGGTAATATATCTAATTGATTAATTTGGTTACAGTATTTTTAATCATGAAACTAGTGCCTTATTAGATTTATCATTTTTCCATGATCCATTTTTCACAAAAATCCCAAAACTTAAGAAGAAAGTCGCTGAACAATGGTAGTTCGCTCTGAGGTTCGAATCCCGCAAACGAGCTGGCTGCATGGGCAGTTCCTATTTTTTCCCCATGTGTAACGTGTATACGAGCCAAGTTCCCTTAGAAAGTCCTCTACGAAGGCATCCCTTCCCTTCAGCAGACAGTCCTCGAGGCTTTGCATTAATCACACAAAACTAAAGTCGTAACTTACTTTTAAGCAAAAGGTTAACCTGTTTCAGTAGTTTCTTAAAAATTAACTAATAGTGTATCTTGAGAAAAAATTCATATCAACGTCAATTTTAAAAAAATGCGCCTCAATTTTTAATGGATATTCGGAAATCCATAAACATTTTACCTCGAATCAAAATAGAGTGGCTCCCAAAAGTGTTTGTACACTTATGATTTTCATTGAAATGGGGCTCCATAAATTAATTAAAAATTATTACTATATATTATTCAAAAATAGGTCGCAGTCGTAAAGAAATTACAAACAGCATTCGAAAATTGATAATTTTTCACCATAGTAGCGGTAAATCAATTCTAAATATCGCTAAATTAGTTAATTTATCTCATTATACAGTGCAGTATGTAATAAAACGCTTTAAAGAAGAAAATCGGATTGAAAACAAGGTAAGAAAAGGTCGACCGAAAAGTTAGCTAAACGTGATGATAGATTTATTATTAGAAAATGTGTGAAAAACCCACGTTTGAGTGTTGTAAAAGTTTCTGCAGAATTTAATGCAAAGTTTTCTACTTCAATTTTACCTTAAACTGTTCGACGAGTTCTCAGCGAAGCTGGATTACATGGGCGTTCTGCCCGTAAAAAAAAATTTGTTAGCGAGAAAAACAGAAAGCTTAGACTTTCATTCGCAAAATCAAATGATAAGTACACCCGAAACTTACTGGAATAATGTCCTATTTGCTGAAGAAAGCAAATTTAACATTTTTGGTTCTGATGGTCGAATAACTAACTGTATGGAGAAGAAAAATGGGAAACTTCATTCTAAGAACTTAGTTCGGAACAGTTAAACATGGCGGTGGAGGTGTTCTTATGTGTGTGTGTGGGGGGGGGCATGACAGCATCAGGACTAAATAATTTGGTATTTATTGATGGCATAATGAATCATTGTCTTTATTTAAATATTTTAAAAGATGATTTAAAATTATCAGCCCAAAATTTGGGTATTGGAAAAAACTTTATTTTTAATCATGATAACGATCTTAAGTATACGGCTCTCAACGTTCGCCTGTAGTGTCTCTATAATTGTCCACGGGTTTTGAAAACACCACCTCAGTCGCCAGATTTAAACCCCCATAGAACACATTTGGAAATAGCTGGAGGTTAAAGTACGAAAACACGACATCAAAACGTAGAGCGAACTCAAAACAGTCTTGATGGAAGAATGGATGAACATTGATACAGAAATTACAAAATAACTAGTAAACAGACGGTTAAAAGCTGTTGTGGATGCTAAAGGATATCCTACTAATATTAATTTAACTAAAAACGAAAATATTTACTAATATGTCAAGATTTTTTTGAAGTGTACGAAGACTTTTGTGAGATAAAATGTTTGTCATTTTTTTATTATTTAATTTCTTAAAAATAAAGTTTCGCTATATTTTAAAAATATTTCATGTAATTTTGTTACGAATAGATTATAGATCTTATTATTAAAATCTCATTCAGGAAGTTTACTTTTAATTAATGGATATAGCCCTATATCAATGAAACTCATAAGTGTACGAACACTTTTGGGGGCCACTGTATATAATTTTCCAAGCCTGCAACACCAAAACTTGTTCATTTTTAAGTATTTAAGATAAAAGAATCTAATACTACATTTTCGGCTTTTTGCATGAAACTTATTAATTTATGAAAATGAAAATAATTTAACTCTCCAAATGACACACGTTGGTGAAAATTTCATCTCAAATTCATCATTTCATCCGAATTTTAGGATCTTTTCTCTTGCAGAATAACACGCGCCAAACAATTTCCAACAGGAAGATCTATGTGCCACTCTTGCCCGTTAGCCACCGTTAAATTAAATGTGCTGCTCTTATCTTTTGTCATTATATTATTTTTAGATTAAAGAGTGTAAAAAGGATTTATAAAATGTGTGACTGTATTCTTTTTTATAGAAATATTTATCTTAAGATGTATTTCCTAAGCTTGGAAAATTTTTCTCTTTCAAAATGGGCTGATGACGGTATGTTTTCTCTTTGAAAGTACAAAGTCTGAGAGTGCATCTCTCTAGAAGAATTGCGTGGTCCTATAATAGAACACACAAAAAAATTTTAAATAGGTTTTAAAGCATTATTTTTACTTCAAACCGTGATATACGAACTTGCATATAGCCATAAGTTCTATTCTAGGATCTGTAAATAAATTTATGCATTGCACAAATTATACTTTAGATGCACTTTTAAAACTAATAGTAAGCGATTCTTTTTCAGCAGTCTAATCTTCTCTAGAATAGTGCTTTGATAAAACGCCATTTGGCTAAATTTCGGAGAAACATTTTCAGTTTGTCGCCAAGTGTAGCCAAACGGAATCGCCTTGATTTGTTTAGTAATAAAACCGTGTAAAATTTATTGAATTTAAAATCGCAACTTAAAACAGTTCTTTTAATTAGTCAACGCATAAATAGGCAGTTATGCTTGCTTATGATCTAGTAGTATTACAATAAAATGCCGCTCTTATAAGCCAGATTTTTATGTAGAATCAAACGTAACTATCACTCGCAGAGGGAACGATCCTCACTTCCCCATAGTCAGGATTTCAGAGGGTGTTGACGTAAATTGCATGAAAAATTTAACTTTTCACTGAATACAGTATATCAGATAACGACAAGTATATTAATTATTTATGCTTTTAAAATGCTAATAGTATAAAACTATGAATTATACATTAAAAATTACATCCCCCGAAATTCATCACTAAAAGCAAATTACCCTCACTGTCTGTGACAGCTCACTACAGTTCTTAAGATGTACATGTATGCTGCTTCATGAATTAATCTCGGTTTTTTTTTTTCAATACATCTTTAATTGGAATGAGTTTAATTTTATCGTATTTATTGTAATATAGCAACAGAAAGTTAAATTTCCGAGTATTTGCATTACAGCTTAGCTAGCACTCAAATGAAAAAATAAAAGAATCTCTTTGAAAATTATTATTAGCCCAAAGGGCTATTAACTTAGTTTTGGCATTTTGCATCCAATCACTACAAACTGCGTAGCATTTTTCAAATTGTTGCCACCAAATGTTACAGCTCTGCATTATGTTTAATGAAATTAAATAATGAATAATCTGCGTAAAAATATGTTCCTCTCATTGTGATAAAACAACGGAACCTAGAGCCATTCAATTTTGAATAACGTAATCCTCCACCCAAATATAGAAGTCCTAATTTGGGATTCGTTTTATTATTGATTTCATATTTTGCAAACTTTAACTAATTTGTAATTGAACAAACTCGACGATTTTAAAGCTAGCAAGTGTATCGGAAATTCTAAAGAAATATTCTTTTAAAACTATTTTGAGATATTACTGTTGAATTGAATTTTATGGTTCAAGTGCGATGACTATGATATTTAATAAATAAAGGTAGCACACAAAGCGTTTAAAAAAACCCTTTGGGCGTAATATAAAATCTGAAAACTTTCAAACTGAGCCATTAACTTGCAACGTGAAAAATGTGTGCGTCACTGGTATAATCACGTCTTATATAACCCATAAGCAAGAAATGCTTGCTGCAAATATTTCGATACCTAATAATGAGATAAAATATATAAAGTATATATCTACCTAATGTGACTAATAATAACTCCCAAATTAAA